TGACCACATCCGCCCTCAACAGGTTTATTCGTCTTCGACACTTACGGAACAGGTTCACTGCCGCATCCTCTACAACATCTGTAGTGCCAGGGCTCCGAATTGATCAGATTCGGTGGCGAGAGTGTTATGGTTTGGGTAGGCAGTGGAAGACCCGATGTTATTCACATCCAAAGCAATCTTACAGCTCGACATTACTGTTCCATAAAACCATCAGACCTCATGTCATTCCATTCATGAACTGTCAGAAGATCATTTTCCAACATGACAATGCTAGACTGCATACAGCAAGATTCAGCACAACATTCAGGTTCTTGCATGACCCTCTGATCACCAGATCTGAACCCAATTGAACATTTGTGGAACAAACTGGATCGACGTGTGAGACAGTGTGATCCTCAGCTGCAGATCTTAGCTGCTTTGTTTCTGATTTTGCACGAAGAATATCTGGTCATTCCTGGACAGTTCATCCGGATCTGATCCAATCTATGGGACGCCAATGCCAGGCAACCATTGCTGCTAATGGCGTTCACATAAGATATTGACTGCTCTGTGACTTTGACCTTTCTGCACATGTCATTAGTTACGTCCCACCTCTACTTCCACTGGACAATACATATTCAACAGTGTTTTCTCTATCACTGTCCTGTATCACTTAAACTTACATGCATAAATATATGACCATTTTCAGCTATGCGTTTCTCTTTTAGAAGTATAGATTCACAATTAGTGAGTGAGTAAGTATGGTTTTAGCCGCTTTTTAGCAATATTCCAGCAATATCACGGCGGGGGGGACACCAGAAATGGGCTTCACACATTGTACCCATGTGTGGAATCGAACCCGGGTCTTTGGCATGACGAGCGAATGCTTTAACCACTAGGCTACCCCACTGCCCCAGATTCACAATTAGATAACATTAGACCCAAACAAACTTTATGTTATTTGGTTTTTTGGGTTTTTTTCATAGTTATCAAACTTGATGTAAATAAATAAATGGTATAAGCAATATGTTTTCTGAAAATATATTGAAACATTGATATTTCATCTCTTGGTAAGTAAAATTGGTGACCTATGTTAAAATAAGATTTTAGTTAACAAAAACAAATTGCGTTATACAAATTCTAAGAAATTTGTGATGAAATTTAAAGTACATCATAGCTGCATCAAGCATAGCCTATTCCAAAGTCACCCCGCTTAAACTTTCCTGAAAAGTGAGAAGCGTAAGTCGCAAAGCCCTCAATTCCACTATTTTAATCTGGCACTGGACATGGAACTCTTGATCCTAATGCTGATCAGATCATTTAGAGAGGCAATTATAAATGAAACAGTTGAGCCAGGTAAACAGTTACAATATTGATGATTTTGATGTCTATACTTCCATACAATAATTTTGTTCTTTGGAAAGCTATCAAAACTATCATTGAACATTCATTGTCTTCGAAATCATGTTCTTTTATTAAGTGATCATGATCTGATAATCAAAGTTTTGGAATGAAAAATGGCGCCCATCTTAATTTGGTATAATTTTGCCTTTGAAATACTATCTCTCTTCTCTTGGCCTAGCCAACCTTATTGTTTGATCAACATGAATACCACCAACCATATCTGAGACAAAAAAGTCGAAACCTGGTTGAAAATTGTCGTATTTTGCCTCATTTGACATTTGTTTATAATATACTATGGTGGCCATCTTGGATTTCCTTCAGCAAAATGAATATGTTTTCTGGCCTATTACATCATCCAATCTAGAGATGTTATGATGAAAGTCAAATATGGAGACTACTTTTGGTTCTGTCTTGTTTTGAGTTCAAAATGCAAGAAATATTTTTAAAACTTTGCTGTTTTAGGAAAACTGGTGGCCATCTTGGATTTTGGAAGCAATCATATTTTGGTACAAAGCATAAACAGTATCTTACTTAACACATTGAGACACAAATATGTTGAAAATCTCAGAGAAATTCTGTTTTTAGGAGCTGAAACAAAGATAGTGTAATATAAATGGTGGCCATCTTGAAAAAAGGTGGCCATCTTGGAATTTTGAGTGGCCAACGTTATTTTTTCAGTAAGTGTACCAATGTGAACATGTATGCAAATTTTGTTGCTTGTATCACAAAGTGAACGATTTTTCCATTATCTGCCCTACTATATATGTTACAGGGAATGTGTGAAACCAGGGATTTCATGTAATCCCTGAAAGATTCAGTGACCCTCAGGGATTTCATGTACTCCCTAAAATTTCCAGGGATTTCATGAAATTACTGATTTTATTGGTGTTCCATTACACACATTCCCTGTTAGGATATCAGTGAATGTGTGAAATTAATGTTTGTAGCTTAAAACTTTACTGTTGAGTCTCATTTCATCCCTTAGTTCTTTGGAGTTGAAAACTTTGACAATTTACTGATGACACTTTTGGCTAATTACTACCTTGAGTCGGGATACCAAGTTAATTTTCTCAAGGCTTTACTGTTTAGTCTCATTTCATCCCTTAGGTCTTAGGAGTTGAAAACTTTGACTATTTACTGATGACACTAAGTCAAGCTAAGAGAGGGAAATTACCGGGTTTCGATAATAGTCCAGTTGATGTTTTGACAAATGACATCTGTATAGATTATCTTCATAAACTGTTTTCTACATGTTATGAGACTGGTCATGTACCCTCCAACTGGGCCCAGGGGATCATCACCCCTACCCCTAAGTCTGGAGCTGACAACCTGAGAGACCCAATGTCTTATCGCAGCATCACACTAGTGCATCTTATTGTTATGATTAATAATTTAATCAATATTCCTTTTGTAGTTTCAAAAGTTACAGACATTGTTTTTAGCAATTTCGTTTATAAATTGAAACAGGACCTTTTACAAGTTTGTAGTTTAACTGGTAGGGGAGGTAATAAGTTACACATGTACTGTACTTTAAAGGTGGATTTTTGCAGTGATTTTATGTTAATTGTAATGTCTCGCTCTATGACAAAAGCAATAGCTTTGTTTAGATGTGCAGTAGCGCCGCTTAGAATCGTAACTGTAAAGATTTTATTGAAGATAAGTGTCATGTTTTATTGCATTGTCCTTTGAATGCTGATGAGCTTTTACAAGTCTTTTAGATGTTTTGTTTTTTTAAATCTGGGTATGTTGAAAAGTTAGTTTTCTTCTAGCTTGTCCAGGTGTATCGTTTTTATCTGCAAAACCTGCCTTAATATTCTTAAAAAGCGTACTGCAAATTTGTATATATCTTCTTAATGTAACTTGTACCCTTATTATTGCATTTTTAATATTCATATATTATACTCTGTATATTGTGGCACAAGTGTCTCTCATAATTCCGTATGGAATGGCTCAACATTTTACTGTGATATAGCATTTAAAAAAGTAGCGAGGTTTTTCAAACATTTTGTTTTCTTTATTGAAAATAGACCTTTAAGTTTAAACAGACTAGACCATTCACAGAAATAACTTGGAATATACATCATCCCGCTGTTGAAGAAGAGCTTTGGGATATGGTATTTTTCAAACCATATATTTCATGTTTGTCCTCAGCGTCTTCTTTCTACAAATGATGTGACAATGGACAAAGAACTGTTTCTCCACACAGCTGTGATTTTCGAGTCGAAATGTGGTGGTCAGGGTTTTCAGAAATGTAACTGTTGTCCTAACCAGTGTAAATCAATACGTTGTAAATGCTACTGAAGTGTAAGAGCTTGTATGATAACACTCTATCTTGTCCCAACAAATGAATTTTATCAGGAAATAGCATTATAAATTTGGTGTTCTCTATTTCAATAAGGGCTTACAGGGATTTCATGAAATCACTGAGCTTATATTTCAGTAATTTCATGAAATCCCTGGAAATTTTAGGGAATACATGAAATCCCTGGGAGTCACAGGGATTTCATGAAATCACTGACTCTTTCAGGGATTACGTGAAATCCCTGGTTTCACACATTCCCTGTAACATATATAAGAGTGACAAAAAGGAGATTTGACCAGACTTGTGTCGTAGCCCAGATGGGAAAATAGTTTTCAACATGATAAACACTGAATTCCTAGAAGCTTCCACCACCAATCTGGATTCTTTGGAGAGAGGCCTGTTTCAATACATTCAACAGTGCACAAATTCTGAACATAGTTAATCATGTAAGTAAAACAAATCTAACTAGATGACCTCTTATGAACATATGTTTCATCAATTTTCATGAAGACAAGGCTGAAATTAATATTTTGAGATACTCTTGAATATCTGAATGCAACAAGTCATTTTATATTAAAACAGATATTAAAAAAGTGTTCTTTTTAAAATTAAGAATAGAGTAACATTCATTCTGATAGAAAAGATATCCTCACCCTAAGTTATGAGAAGCCATGATTCCATCCAGATTGATGGATTGTTATATTTTCCATGTATAATATTAACTGAGTAGGCACTCAAATGACATTGTGGTTTATCAGACAAACATCATTTTGTGGAACATTCAGAAGAGCATCATTATTTGATTAAACTTAAACAGCCTATTTTCCCCAACAAATCTTTCTTGGAAACCTGAATATACTAAACATTTCGTTACATAACAAATTCAGGCTTGTATACTGAGAACATATTTCAGACAGGTTTGGAAATAATGATTCTACAGCAAATGGTAGCTTCTTGTTTCTTCATGACAAGCGAGACATTCATTCTTTCACGTCAGCTTAGTAACTTGACAATATACAATCCACAGTCGGTTTCGTTAAAGACTTCATAATTTATGAATCAAACTTTCACTTCCAAACAAATGCATTGCATATTAATACAGCTAAAATTACAATTACATACCACAAACTGATAATGCCTCCATTATAAATATTCCTGCACTTTCTATCATACAGCAGGCCCGGTTAGAACAGGGGCTCGGAATTCGACCACGTTTCTGGTCATGTCATGACCTAACACAGCGACATTGCCACGAGCTACAATGCATCGTTTCAAAACAAAAAGCAACATTGAGAATCTGCATTAATGAATATACCTGTTCGTTTTCCTTGTAGTTTCTGCAGTTGACAGTTGTCAACAGAAGTGCCCACGTAACACACACCCAAAACATCGCCATTTTGAAGTGTCTAATTTCCGTGTACAAACGTGACAATGCGAGATATGATTATTTTATGGTAAATGAATACAAAAAATATAACTTTATAATTTGTATCATAGCATGAATGAATATAGATAATAATGACTTTGTTTTAATAAAATAGCAGTTTTGCAATATAATACAGTTCACTAGCTGGGCTCTGTCTCGGATAAGCTCCAAATCAACGCGTGCTAACGTTGACGCATTTATGGTCACCGGTATACAGGCAGTAGGGAAAGAGGTATCGCTGTGATGAGCTTTGAACGCCACGCACTTGTTGCGGTCGGCACGTCTTTGTTGAATGTTTGATATCGCACATATGCCGATCAAGACATTTCGATCGGAAATGCACGAGGTCTTGCAAATGAAATATCCAAACTGGTCACCTACACAGCAGCCTGTCATTCAAACGTACGGCGCATCATTTAAAACAAGTTTGCACATGAAATACATTAGATACAACATAAATTATTCTCCATAATGTTTGTAAAGCAGTTTTTTAAAGTTTATTTTTCATTCAAAGTAACCAGGACTGTCAGTGAACTAGCCAGTTAGTTTATGCCAAACCCGTATGTATATCTTGCTCTAAGAACAGAACTAATAACACATCGTTTGTATATATATTACGAACAGATTCCTTCAGCCAAATTCAGGCATAGATTTGGTGTGGGACTGAACATTTTCTCTCATGCACAAAAGATGATTCTTAATGTATACCATTTTCTTTGTGCAGGTTCTTGACATGTCTAAACATAATGGATAATTTCATAAATAATAATACATATCATAGATCTATATATTAGCTAATTTATATGGAGATAACTTTTGGGTCCTTTTATCAATAGTTTACTATTAGGATGAGGCTTTCTGTAGAATTAGTTACATATGTGAAATACATTAATTGTGATTGGTTTCTTTGTCAAGGTAGAATTGTATAATTTTAAATGATCCAAGTAGACCAAACAAAAATATATAATAATTTCTGTTCAATATCAGTTTGGATGAGACGTCTGAATTAGTTCAGACATTCCAAGTTGTGAGATTGCTCAGTTAGCTAGGATATCACAAACACAAGGTGTTTTTGATTAAAAGATATAATGGCAGGGGGCGGTGGGGCAGTCTAGTGGTTAAAGCGTTTGCTCATCACGCCGATGACCCAAGTTTGATTCCCCACATGGGTACAATGTGTGAAGCCCATTTCTGGTGTCCCCCCACCGTGATATTGCTGGAATATTGCTAAAAGCAGCGTAAAACTAAACTCACCCACTCACTATAAAATGACAAAAGAAATAAATTGTGGGCAAGACATTATTAGAAAAATATATGCACCTTCACAATGGTTTCTTCAATTTTTTAGCAAACTTTACTTTTTCTATTACATGAGAAAATTATATTTTGAAATCGTCTGTTGTCCAATTTTGTGAAATGATAGCCAGCAAGCAGCAGGTTCAGAGATTATATCCAGCTAATGACAACGTGGTGGTGGTGGTGGTGTTCGAGCTTGAGAATATTTCGCTCATATGACGACGTGCATGCGTGTGTATGTGTATGAGTGGCTGCTTGTACTAGCCCAGACTGAAGCTGGATTTATAGTGCTAGCCCACTGAGATACCATGCCGCAGTGAAGCATGAATACCCCACTCAGACACAGTATACTGACTCCGAGCCGACCAGTCCTTGTTGTACCCATTAATGCCGAGCGCCAGGCAGGGACCAAATTGTACCATATTTTAACGTCTTTTGGTATGACGCGGTCGGGGATCGAACCCGCGACCTTCCGCACTCTCGGGCGGACGCTCTAACCACTACACCACGGAGGCGGTCTAATGACAACGTGGTTATGGACCTGTGGACCAATGATGTTAACAGGTCATTACGGTGCTGTCAGTGCCACTATTGTGCAGTACATGTACACAACACAACCATACCATCCAATGGTAGATGACCAGATTGGGGAAACACAAACAACATCTTATGACTGAAACAAAAGTCACTTGTCACCATTGACAAGTAATTTAGCTCAAAGATGCCTCTATTGACTCAGCTGGGAATGGGCCCATGATATGCGAAGTCCATGTAAAAATTGTTAAGCCACTTGTGCTATTGGCAGCGTAGGTTGTATACTCCCCTAGGAGTAGAGAAAGATAACAATCAGGTTTTGACGTACAAATCAAGACAGGTCACAGCAGTTGGTGCCCTGCCTTTACTGTATGTACATGAAACTATTTCTCAAGCTTCGGCAGGGGCGATGGGGTAGCCTAGTGGTTAAAAGCATCCGCCACTCTGAAGACCCGGGTTCGATTCCCCACATGTGTTCAATGTGTGAAACCCATTTCTGGTGTCCTCGCTGAGATATTGTTGGAATATTGCTAAAACAGCGTAAAACCATACTCACTCACTCACTCACTCACTCACTCACTAAAGCTTCAACAGAGTTGTCTCCCCTGGTAGTTATTTGCTTGACAGTGTGAACATGAACTACACATCAGGATATGATTGACATGCTAATACAGCCAAGCACCAACAGAGTTGTCACGCAAGGTAGTTGTCTCCCCTGGTAGTTACCAGACTGACAGTGTGAACATCAACTATGTCTCAGGACATGATCAACGTACTAATTCAGGCAAGCTTCATGAGAGTTGTATCCCCTGATACTTACTGGACTGACAGTCTGAACATCAACTACACACTTAATGCAATAAGCAGATCAATGAATATCCTGGCTATGTGGTTGTAGCAGGCATTACATTTGTCATCTGAGTCTTCTTCATAAATATCTGAGGCAAAAAATAAGACATCAAGAACAAAATTGTTTTTATTGCAAAAATATTAACAAAGTAGTTACAACAGAATATTGTACAACATTGTTATCTTATACTACCCCACTTTGGTTAACTCCACAGGTTGTGCACTATTATACCAAAAACAAATCATAGTAACAAGATACTAGGCACACATATTTCATATTTGATCAAAGCAAATCCAATTAACACACATAGTTATGGCCTATTCTAGATTGTTTGTTCACTAAAAGATTAGTCTTGCACCATCAACTGTACCATTCATAAACAAAGGTTTCTTTCTAATTGACCTATCCATGTCTGCTACCCAATGGTCAGATGCTAAACTCTTTACCGTAAGTGTGACAAGTTAAATTTGCTTTGAATGGCATAATCATCAATATCCCAAACTTTGATCTTATAACTAGGTGTAACAACCTCCTTCACTGAACACGAAAGTGTTAATGTATCTGGTGGCACTTGAGTCCAAACTGGACTTCATGGAGGTAAGCGATGCCAAGGAGCTATGCAAGAGAAGACCTGGGATATAATTCAATAGAAGCCTAGATATATCTAAAACTAATTATGTGCATGATTATGTGATATTATGAATTATTAAATTCAGGTAATAAATACATGTCATTGCAACTCTTGCAATGTTCCAAGCCATTCCACATAAACCAACATGAAAAACTACCATTCTCCAAATTAGATTGAGTGAGTAAGATGTTACCCAGCTTTTAACAATATTCAGTGTATGAAATAAGCCAAAAACCTAGCCAGACATCTGGGCTGGTAACTTCAAAAACTTACCAGCCCAGAAGAGATTTAACCAATCCTTCTTAAATACTAAATAGACAGTGCCAGTGGACACATTATCTGAATATTTTTTTTCACCGGTTCATCGGACTGGCTAGCTTTAAAATTAGACTGTCCGGCAGAAATCTAGCCCGTCTCGGGCTGTCGGACGGGCCTTATTTCATACACTGTTCACTATTCCAGCAATTTCACAATAGGGCACATCGGAAATGGGCTTCACACATTGTACATATGTGGGGAATAAAACCTGGTTTTACGGCGTAATGAGCGAACACTTTAACCACTAGAATACCCGACTGTCTCCCCAAAGTTGAATGATGTGACTTGAAACATTTTACACTTTTACATTTTTTCATTAGATATTCTTTTTTCCCCACTGTATATTAGAATTAGTAGTTTACAATATAACACAGAAGCTCTTTCTCTTTGATTTCTAAAGCGCAATATCAGATGAGATTTCTGATTGGTTGGAAGACCTGACTATTTTGATTAGAAATATGGACTCATCTGAGTACACTAGTCAGATATTTTCAAAGACGGTTTATGAGAGATGGACCTTTTTGGATATATCAACTTTGGTACTAATGATTACACATAAATAATGATACACAACCAACTCCACACTGAAATGCATAAATGAGATCAGACACAGCCATAGTTATCAATTACAAATATGAGTTTTGCGATCATATTTAGGGGATATTTTGCTCATAGATTGTCACGGTATCACTACAGGTACATGTGGTAATATGCATGACTCATTAGTTCTTTTACCACTTGTGTCAGGCTCATGGTTATTGAGTAATACTGCTGCAAGGAACTTATCTTGCCAACATGTCTTAATCTGTTTTTATGAAAAGAAATAAAACAAGTTGAAAATTGATAAAAATACATGTTGAGATGCGGTTAAGTTGTGCTGTGTCATGTGACTTTCACAGACTCATAAGTCCATTCTGTGCTGCAGTACTTCACTCTTGCTTGACAACGGTATAAGAATCTATACTGAAACATCGCATCATATGTAATAAAGAAGTTGTTATCCATAAAGCATCTTACTTTCTTATGACTCTTAAGCAGCATGCAACTGTTCCCTTTGTAGTGGGCATTAGGAGTTATCCTCCTGCACAAGTACAAAAGGTCAAAGCAGCAAGAACTAGGTTCTGATATAAAGAAGATTGTTCTCTTGCTCAGGAACCCCTATGCTGCCTGTTTCCTTCATGGCAGCACATTACTGAATTGTTCTCCGCTTCAAACATCTCTTTCCCTCCCAAGTGGGATATCGAGTATTTTATCAAGATCACGTGAACTAATCAGATCTCAACTTTTTGTCATGGAGGCAAGATAAATATAATACGTACCTAGTTAGGACTGTTGGGATAAACCTGTTTCTCATGGCCTTTCCTGTTCTAAATTTGTACTCTATTTTTAAGCATATCATTATGCACTGTTACGGAGAAATGTTTTAACCCAAAATTTAATTTTAGGATTAGATTGTGATTTTGTGTCGTGACATTTACAGGACAACCGAGACAAGGACACTTGTGTATTGCATCAATGTCTTCATATTTTGAAATGTATGGAAGGTGCCCCAAAAATTACATGGCACATTAGAATCAAGTCTACTTTCATAGATTAGTAGCCATTGACTGAATGAAGTTTAAAAGAAAATCCTTCCTACCTGGTCAGTTTTTAAAATAAGTTTTGAGAAACAGGATTATGTTTATAAGGCAACATAGACATACAAACTGTAAACACAAATAATCCACACGCCACAGACACAGGCCTTGATTGGTTTTGTTCCTTGTTTTGAAATGACAATTCCTTTTGTGTCATCAAAATTATTCATAGTTCAGGGCAAGAGATGCATTCTTATCATGTACACAGTAAACAAAATATAGAATACAGTATGCACGACCATTTTGATGAATGTGATGACAAAGAAATATTAATTGGAATGTCTGCAAAACTTCATTTCATTAAAAACAAATTTGAAATTGTTTGTATGGAATCACATCTTAACTGACTGCACAAATATAAAAGAATATTCAGGAATTACTCTAGGTGTTCTATGAGGTTGGTTTTCAGTCCCAATTCTACAAAAATGTGTGTAAAAGTTCCTAAATTTGAATTAAAACTTTCTCTTTTCTGTATTTTTGTGATATTTGCACCCTTGTCAAATGTTAGTACAATAACGTTTTACTTGATGCTTGATTACTTAATTTTACATTGAATGCAACGTTAACACATATCTCAAATCAAAAAGATAGGGATTTTACCAGATTCCCTAACTTATATTGATTCCTAGATAAATGCCTGATATTGGTATACCTCTCCCGACAACTACTTTCTCTTGTCCCTCTCCTGTGTGTCCCTCTCCTCCTATAAGCAGCCACATCCGATCTCATTAAGATACCCAATGTTACTCTGATAAGAAACGTCTTTGCTTGAAGATATGAGGATGCTGTCACAGGTTATCCTGCGGGAACTTTGACCCCCATCAAATAAAGCCTGCCGAGGGATATCAGATGTAGATGCCAATCAGATATCAGCTTTCTACAATGATTCGTCTTTATATCTCTACACCCTGGAATTAAGAGCTCAACAAAAGCAAACCCACACAGAGCACAAATAGTCCTTAGGCATTAAGTATCCACACCAACATAATGGCATGGCCTTTATTATTTACATTATGGAACTGACCAATCAACTTGGAATTTTGATATATAGAGATCAGATATACTTGTTTGAATATTTTTCTCATTTGTATCATAAATGTAGAAATCTTTATTGCTGTATCGGAGTAAAAAGAATAATGAAATGAGATCGTGGATACACCTGGACCTAGTCGGTCTTGGGTCGACGCCCCAGAATCTTCTTCCTCTGTGTCAACATGTGCATGTACAGCTGTGGAAACACTGTAAGGAGAATGGAAGAGGGTATGATAAGGACCCGTATGCACCCAAACTTTGAATAAGAACTAGATTTTGTTCAATTCAAATGAGTGAGTGAGTGAGTTTAGTTTTACGCCGCACTCAGCAATATTCAAGCTATATGGCGGCGGTCTGTAAATAATCGAGTCTGGACCAGACAATCCAGTGATCAACATCATGAACATCGATCTGGGCAATTGGGAACCCAATTCAAATGAAGCATACTTAGCACTAAATGAACATGTTAAGCTAAGCTGTCAGAGGTTTTGGATGCACTAACGTCCATTATGACCTCCCCTTAATTGTTGTCATATCTTAGGATGACCCTCCTCACTTCTGAGTACATATTTTCAAGCCACTCCTCAAATATGTGTATTATTGGCAACTTGACTCCTGAGAGTTCCTAGGACTTCAGTCCTGCTCCACAACGAAGCACATGTGATACATGTGGTCTCACCTTAGGCAAGTGAGTTTGTCAAAATTGCCTCAATTCATCCAGCAGAAAATGGGTACCTGGTGGGATAAGTCATGTGACTCTAACCTTCTAGCGCCTAACAGGCAGCTTGGGTTATTTGGTGTAATAATGTGTTAGTGCTTTGAGCATGCACAAGTGTGTGGAAACAGGCGCTTTACAAATGGCCATTGTTCTTATTATTTTTTATGACCCTCCCTTAGAGACGTATATTTTTTTTTTATACCCAATTAACTCTGATCTTCTCCAACCAATAAGAAAGTACAAGAAACTGGCTTGTAGCCTCATGTTTTATTGTCAGGTAATGTTTAAACCTAATAAAATATTTTAATGTTTGACATTTCCAATGGGCCACATATGGTCATCACCTACCTTGGACGTTAACAAAACAAGTCAGTAATCTCCATTTCTCGATCATTACGATAGTAAAGAAAATCTGCACAGTGGGTATAGACTCTGCTGTAGTCATATTACCTGGGATGTAGGCGAAGATGATGAACCAGAGGTAGTAGTAGTAGCTGAAGGACATGTTGAGTGTATTTGGCAACTCGAAACTATACAGCTTTAGTTTCTCTGCATATGGCAGTGCTGTCCAGATGGTCATCAGCTCTCCCTGCACAACACATCAGGACATACAGTGAGCATACAAGTCTCTTTTCGAGTGATTTGTCTGTTTGGTGTTTAACGCTGCACATATAACAATGTTCCAGCTATATGACAGCAATATGTAAATAATCTAGTCTCCACCAGATAATACAGTGATTGACATCATGAGCATCGAGGAACATCGTTTCCATCAATATGTATTTACTGTGTAAGTAAATATAGTGAAGGGGAAGCAGTGAGTTTAGTTTTACGCCACACTCAGCAATATTGCAGGTATATATAGGTGGCGGTCTGTAAATAATCAAGTCTGGACCAGACAATCCAGTGATCAACAGCATGAGCATCAATCTACGCTGTTGGGATACAAGGACATGCATCAACCAAGTCATTACGACAAGGGTTGCTAAGACCAAGTCTACCCCGGATCTTCACAGGGAATCATCTTGAGTCAACAACTTGGTTACATCACTATATGACTGATACAATGCCGATGCGATGTAAAACTTCAACTCAACTAAACTAAACAAGAAGTCTGAAGAACTTGAATGGGTTAACATAGCTTACTTATGTAACACTGAAAGTTTGCTAAGGATCAACTTTGGACAATCAAACAAAAAATCCCCAAAACAGGCAAATCTACAGGAACTCAAAATTTTCTTACAGAGGAGTGGAAGAATCTTGGTGCCAAAATTCCTATGCCTTTGACTTATTTAACATGATAAAGGGTAAAAAGACATTTTTCTCTCATTTCTATGAGTACTTCAATGTGTTGTGCTTGACATAAACTTACAGTGACTCCTATCGGATACAGCACGATGAAGAAGGTGTATCTGAAAGCACAACAAAGCAGTGTATAAAACATACATAGTCCACAGCAATGGCGCTCCAATTAATCAGTTACTGACTTATCAATCTGAATTCCTGATGATAATGTCCTTTGAATATACACTGAACAGCTTCCATAATCCAATGTACAATACCTCCATTAGGATAAACACCCTCAGAAGTAAACTCACCATCTCTAATGCCGCTTCCTGTAAGTGACCATCACTCTACCCTGACTCAAAGGCTACTTCTTTACCATTCTTTCAAATTAGCTCAAATTGAAGCAATACTAATTAACGAGTCCAGGATATTTACCACAGTGAGAAATGAGTAGTGACTTTAGGTTTACGTCACTTTTAGCAATATTCCAGCAATATCACTGTGGGGGACACCAGAAATAGCCTTCACACATTGTACCCAAGTGGGGAATTGAACCTGGGTCTTCGGCATGAAGAGAGAACAGTTTAACTACTAGGCTACCCCACTGCCCGAGACATGAGTAGGGTCAACACTGCTGTAAACAGCATTTCAGTAATCTCACGTCGTGTCAGCTTGACATGGCTGGAAAGCCTGAAGTGATGTCTAAGCAATTTCACATTGGAGAAATCTACAAGTACAGGTATGCTGCTGACAAGCCTAAAAACATTTTGGAACTGGATTCAAGTCCGCAGTTATAAGTGCCTGGCATGGCTAAGAGATGCATAGAAAATTGCAGTGCTTTAGATTTATGTTAATAAAATGGGCATAAATACGATAATTGATTGACTGAGTGAGTGAGTTGGGTTTTACATCGTTTTTAGCAATATTCCAGCAATATCACGGCGGGGGACACCAGAAATGGGCTTCACACATTGTACCCATGTGGGGAATCGAACCCGGGCCTTCAGTGTGACGAGCACATGCTTTAACCACTAGGCTACCCCATCGCCCCTGCTGAAGATTGAGAAATAGTTGATGTTCACACTGTCAGTCAAGTAACTACCAGGGGAGACAACTCTGTTGAAGTTTGAGAAAAAGTTGATGTTTACTCTGTCAGTCAAGATAACTACCAGGGGAGACAACTCTGTTGAAGTTTGAGAAATAATGTTCACCTGTCAAAGGAAACAACTCTGTTGAAGTTTGAGAAATAGTTGATGTTCACACTGTCAGTCAAGGAACTACCAGGGGAAACAACTCTGTTGATGTTTGAGAAATAGTTGGATGTGGCCTGTCTTGATTTGTATGCCAAAACATGATTGCTATCTTTCTCTACTCCCTGGGGAGTATACAACCTACGCTATGGGTTTTTACATCTACCTTGCATATCATAGACCCATTATCTTTCTCTACTATCTGGGGAGTATACAACCTATGCTATGGCTTTTACATCTACCTTGCATATCATAGACCCATTCCCAGCTGAGTCAAGAGAGCACCTTTGAGCTAAGTCACTTGTCAAGGGTGAGGATGGTAGTGAGTGGTTGATCGTAATGTTGTATAACTTTTTGGAGACTACACAGGAACTGGCCACTCCCTCCGGTGTACAGCAAAGCTGTGTATGCAGCTGAACATATATTTCACTTACCTGCACCACACCAGGAAATAGGGCACCTGCCCCAATAAGCTGAAGAAATAGTATCCATAGCGAATAATCTCTGTGATGGACCAGGCAAATAGGAGAGCTGCAACCCCATGGCCATTCTGAGTCTGGAAGACAAACACTCAACGGTGCAATATTTGAACTTGTAGCAGTCATACTGAAACTGTGACTTGACATTTGTAAGTGCACTGAAACTATTGGTGGGCGGTGGGGTAGCCTAGTGGTTAAAACATTGGCTCGTCACGCCGAAGACCCGGGTTCGATTCCCCACATGGGCACAATGTGTTAAGCCCATTTCTGGTGTCCCCCGCCGTGATATTGCTGGAATATTGCTAAAAGCGGCGTAAAACTAAACTCAGTCAGTCAGTGAAACTATTGGTGCTGAAACTGTAACACTTGTACTGAGATTGTAATATTTGTAATGAAACTGAAACACTTGTATTCAGATTGTATTATTTGTACTGAAACTGTAACATTTGTACTGAGATTGTAATATTCATACTGTAACACTTGTACAGAGATTGTAATATTTGTAATGAAACTGAAACACTTGTGTTCAGATTGTAATAATCGTACTGTAACACTTGTACTGAGATTGTAATATTTGTAATGAAACTGAAACACTTGTGTTCAGATTGTAATATTTGTACTGTAACACTTGTACTGAGATTGTAATATTTGTACTGAAACTGAAACACTTGTACTGAGACTGTAATATTTGTACTGAAACACTTGTACTGAACACTATTTGTACTGAAACTGAAACACTTGTACTGAGATTGTAATATTTGTACTGAAACTGAAACACTTGTACTGAGATTGTAATATTTGTACTGAAACTGAAACACTTGTACTGAGATTGTAATATTTGTACTGAAACTGTAACACTTGTACTGAGATTGTAATATTTGTACTGAAACTGTGACACTTGTACTGAGATTGTAATATTTGTACTGTAACACTTGTACTCAGATTGTAATTGTACTGAAAACTGTGACATATGTACTGAGAGTGTAATATTTGTACTGAAACTGTAACACATGTACTGAGAGTGTAATATTTGTAATGAAACTGTGACACTTGTGCTGAGATTGTAATATTTGTAATATCTGTACTGAAGCTGTGACATTTTCTCCTGAAATCGTAAAATTTGTAATGAAATGGTGACATTTATACTGAAATTGTACCTGTTTTGCTGAAACTGTGGCTAGTCATTTTTCTGAAAGTGACATTTGTACTGAGATGGTAGCACTGATTCAAGATAGCATGTTACATGTTTGCAATTATTTGTGTAAGGAATACTCAACTACCAATGATTTCATTTTTTACTTAGTAACAACATTCAAACCTAATGCATGTTTCATGACACCAATGAATAAAGTAAAGTCTATTCAATTTCTCTTAAAACAAATTCCCTCAAATATCATTGGTACATTCAAACTGACGAACACAAATGAGATACAGAGTGAAGTACGTACTGCTGGAAAAGAATGGATGACCCCCCACAGCAAGAAGACTCTGGAATACACCTGGAAGCCTGTCAGTGTAACATTGGACTTCACAAAGCCAACTGCACAATGCAGGACCTGCAAAGAAAAGTGAGTGAGGGAGTTATATAATACACAGATTTGTACAGATAGTGCAGCAGTGTAGAATATGAGGTTAGAATTAGTCTTCCAAAACCCTTGCTTGTCATAAGAGGCGTAAGAGATGACCACTGAGATTGGATGGTCCGACTCACTCGCTTGGATGATTGCATGTTATCCAAACTGCGTAGATCAATGCTCATGTCGATCAGGCCCCCAAAACAATGTTGTGGTTCTGATTACCCGACTAACCCTTGAATTTTGACTGACCCTATATTTTTAAGTGGTATGAATAAAATAAGCTTTCAGATACCATTGTTTTTTCTCGGCACCGACGGACATCGGTCATTCTGATAAAGAAAGTCGACATGATGACCGCAAGCTTGATTGAATAAACAATTATACATTGATAAATTTGTTATTAGTTTGTACTTTACTTCTTAAGAAAAATGTAAAGAAAAATCCTACCTACCTACCCTAAATTTTAAAGGGGTGTAATCAGAAGCACAACATTTTTTTTATTTGGCCTCAACTGATTGTCTGGTCCAGACGCATGACCGATATTATGTACAGACTGGTGTTATATTGTTGGGATATTGAGGAGTACTGAGTGCAGCATTAAACAACAAACACCCCAAAAAATAATGTATGGAACAAGTTTTAGTCTGATCGATGTATGAACTAAGGTACTTCTCTATGCTTAATGTGACAATCAATTTTGCTTGCTCTTTTGTCAAATGTATCTCAACCGCCTTATCAATTACCAAGTGCACTTATTACAGAAAATATGGCAAACAACATATCTTAAAATGCACATTCTATGCATTTTCTAAATCATGTCTATACTTGATCAAGAAAAGTGTGCTCAATAGCATTTAAGGTTTCCAACAAAACAACCAATCTGACTTCAATCTTACCTCTAAAAATGCAGCTGTCTGAAAGATCTTCAGAATTGGTTCCACTGCCCTGTACAGTCCATGCACATTCCCGGACACCGTCTGAGATACAGCAATCACAAACAGTATCAACCACCTGGAACATTAACAGATAATGGTAAAGGTGTGCCAGCTAGATCCATGCATAAGAATCAGGTTTGCCTAAAGGCAATGAGTATTTACAGCGGCTTAGAAACACATATTATAATGTACTGTCATAATCATGATTATAACCGAGCATTCATTAGGGTAAGTAGTTTGTGTCACAGTCCCTGAAATGCAATATTTTCCCTTCTGTCCCACCCCCTTCTGCAACACTAAAGCCCTTAAAGAAGCAAGTCTAGATTTCCTCAGGTCTGAATCTCCAATCTCACTGGGGCTCCTTTTCAACTTAAATGGATTATTTGTTAGTGTCAAAATTATATATATCTTCAGAGACTAACAGGGAAAGAAACCTTTCAAAATTTCCCATTAGACCACAGGACCAGTGAGTGGACAATAATTAGTGGTCCTGTCTGCACTTCACTGGTCCAAAATAACATTCCTAAGTTTACTTAAGTATCAATACAAAATTCACTGGCCACCAGGACCACTGCAAACTTATCATTTAGTGGTCCTGATGAATTTTTACTAGCCTGGGACCACAGTACCAGCACAAATTTCGCACACTGGACTAATTGGGCCGGTGGGGTAGCCCAGTGGTTGATGCATTTGCTTATCAAGCTGAAGGCCTGGGTTTGATTCTCCACATGGATACAATGCACATTTCTGGTGTACCCCGCCGTGATATTGCTGGAATATTGCTAAAAGCGACGTAAAACGAAACTCACTCACTGAGAAACTAAGCGTTAGTCTATAGGGTTTGCTGTTCATATTAGCTGTATTTGTATTATATGATGGGTTAAGATTGGGATTATGTAGTCCAGCATATAACTAGAAGACTTTGCATTATACCAAGGTGTGCTTCATGTAGGCCTTGGCTGGAATACGGGTACATTTATATCAACTAGGAATTATGTTGCCCTAACCAAGGCAATATTTGACGCACAGAAGGCACAGAAGGCAAAGATTGCTCATATGAATTTCAAAGATATTATTTGATTTCTCCATTTGTTTTTATAATGACTAGTGTGAAAATTAATGATTTACAGTGAAGTTCAAACAGTGAAGGTAAGTCCTTTATAATCTTAAACAATACATCTCTAGTACTCCCCTAGCATATGATTTCATGAAATATGATTTCTATTCTCATGAATATTTTCGTCATTAAAATATATGTTTCGTTTCATTACGTAAGTTGTAACAGGTGCAAAGCCGGTGTGATCGAAATCTGGACAACACGCCTCCTGCATCGCTATCCAAAGTCTAGTTGCATGGGCCTACCAGATACAAACAAACATCATATTTACCCGAGCATCTGAGAGACATTGTAAGCAACTAGATATGTTTTCACCAACGCAGACTCCCCCTTCTGTTCTCCGCGTTTACTCGATTCAGCTGCCATTTCTGTCACGACATCCACCTACGGAGCATTACCAAGTTCTGTGACCTAGATTATCGCTGTTGGGAGTTATGGAGATCACCAACCAATCAACTTGCCCCGTCGGCGAGCCGCTACAACTCACTGTTGCCCAGCTGGTACTCAGAGTTGGAAATATTCATAAGCATGTTTTCACTTACACATTTATGCACTTTTAGTTAATCGTTATCAAAGACAATACAAACATAATCCAATAGCAATGTTTGCTTAAGATGCGCGCTTATCGAGTGTAATAATTTCTTTATTATCCATACGTTTGTGCAGTAACTGACTGACTGAGTTTGGTTTTACGCCGCTTTTAGCAATATTCCAGCAACATCACGGCGGGGGACACCAGAAATGGGCTTCACACATTGTGCCCATGTGGGGATTCGAACCCGGGTCTTCGGCGTGACGAGCCAACGCTTTAACCATTAGGCTACCCCACCGCCCCTTGTGCAGTAAAACACGGTAAGCAAGTGTGACGACCCTTTTCATTGACGTCACGTTCAATTGTTTAATGATGTCACAGACGACGAAATACAGAAACAATGGTTGCTAGGCAAAGTGGCACATATGATATGACACTGGTTATGTAATATGGGTAATAAAGTGTGGGCATACCTTTTGGGGAATTGTGTTTTTACAAAAAAAAATGATAACAGGGAAGCACGTAAATTTCTGATGCAATTATGAATATTATACACGTTAAATGTACGAACGTTGGTTAAGAAGCGCTAAGTGTAAAATGATTTGGAGTAATAACGAAATTGATATACATGTACATACATGAATACATTTTCAATAGACATCGTCAATACGTTTTGCTTGTTTGACCCAGTTAACCGGACTATCCTCGCTATCCGGACGATTTCCGCGTGTAACAAAAATGTCCGGATAAATGGGGTTCGACTGTCGTTGGTCGTAGACATTTCATGATGTCAAATAAATATATCGATCCACGTTATAAAGGGCGGTGGGGTAGCCTAGTGGTTAAAACGTTGGCTCGTCACGCCGAAGACCCGGGTTCGATTCCCCACATGGGTACAATGTGTGAAGCCCATTTCTGGTGTCCCCCGCCGTGATATTGCTGGAATATTGCTAAAAGCGGCGTAAAACTAAACTCAGTCAGCCAGTCCACGTTATAAAAGTGAGTTATCTGAGCTTTCGGCTTCACTTCATATGGCAGGGCAGGAAAATAACATCAGTGTGTGAACTAAGGCAAATGTGTCTGTTTAATGTACCGTTTCATATAATTGGCACTTCGCATTCATTGTCACATGAAATGAACAGTTATTAATTTTGTATATGAGCAGTGAATTTTACAATGTTCTCTTGTTAATTATTGATATATGTTGCTAGCGTATTGCATCTGTCCTGAAATAACGATATTGTCCTAACTTCAGCTGCACCATCAGTGAACATTTGTGTCTATTATTGTTCCGCGTGATGTTCCAATTAATTTCTAAAACTAATTTCCAGCTGAAATTCCCCCATTAAAACCATCCGCTACCGGTGCACTTTGTGCAGAAAAAACTTTCGCGTAGGCTACTTTGACCAACCTGCGATCAGATCGTACAATCCACTACCCGTGCACAAAGATCTGGGGACACCCCATTAGCGGTCACGTCAGAACAACCTTTCGTGAAGTTTGACCGACCAATAATGAACTTACAGCTTCTCGCTATCGTTCTGAATACCCCTTGTTAAACCCTTTCAAGGTTACAGGAACCACGTAGACTGTCACTTTCTGAACAACAGGGCGGTGGGGGCGGTATATAGTGTAGCAATGTGTACATTACGATGTGTTCAAATTAGGAATGTCAAACATTACACACACTTATCACTGGAGGGGCGGTGGGGTAGTCTGGTGGTTAAAGCGTTCGCCCGTCACGCCGAAGACCCGAGTTTGATTCCCCACATGGGTACAATGTGTGAAGCCCATTTCTTGTGTCCCCCGCCCTGATATTGCTGGAATATTGCTAAAAGCGGCGTACAATTATACTTACCCACTCATGATCAGGTAAGCGAGGCTCTGATGTGTCCGATGAAAAGTGTGTCAGACTTCAAGAACCGTAATGGGATGTCCTAAGATCTTTGATTAGCGATAACAAATGTCTTATCTTAATAAGAATGCTACTGAACTTACTGAATTCAACACATTAGATACATAATTCTCCACTACATTGTAACTTGTAATGCATGGATGTAGCGACAGGCAGTACTTATATATAAACTGGGAGGCAAAGGTAAGTCTACATGGACTTAAAATCTGGATCCGACAAAAACACTTCCTGTATAAAATTCATCTCCACTGATTAACAGTGACTCGTTTGTTTCGTGTTTTACCACCATTAAACAGGGGAGTATACTTTCTTATACCCGACAGACCTATAGCCAACACGTGGAGGCAGGTAAAGGCTTCAGTACAATGTCCGGCCGCTATTGACAATATCGGTCCTATTACTTACTGATAACCTTATTTCATGCATCCAGACGATGATTTTACAATATACGAAACAACCGCAATAGTTACCTCTTGATGCACTGCACGGTTAGCATTTTAGTTTCCTAAGATAAAACATATGTGGGATTGATCTGTATTACATTTGTGAGCGTTTATTTACCTCTCAAACCATGTATTCTCATCTTTAAGATGACAATGTTTCACAACATCACGTGACTAGTGGGGTGGTGGGGTAGACAAGTGGTTAGGTTCGTCACGCCGAAGATCCGGGTTCGATTCCCCACATGGGCACAATGTGTGAAGCCCATTTCTGGTGTCCCCGGCCGTGATATTGTTGGAATATTGCTAAAAGCAGCGTAAAACATAACTCACTCACGTGACTAGCTCGAGTGAGGTTACTGAGAAAAGCTACCTCAACGTTATCAAATGAGATACAATTTTATACCTACTGGTCTAATTAAATGTAAATTATGTAAAAGGCCATGCGCTATTGTACACGTGCAGATTTTCTGTATATGGACCAGTGGCCTTCACGGGAATAAAAGGTTTGACTGGAACTTCTGTGTAAGACACTGCAATACTGGAGAACACTCTGCTCCTAAATCGCTGTGTATTTAACAAATCAAAAAATTTTTCGACGTGTGTATACGAATATTGAATGAAAGAGTTAACTGCCCTTTCTTAATTTGTTGTTTTTATCGATTAGTGAGTGGTTGGGTTCGTTTCTACAACGATATTATCAATATAGAGTCGATATAACGGCGGGGGACACGAGCAATTGGCATCATAACAAACACTGCTTAGAGAAATTACGAAGTTAGGTTAAAACATCATTCAGACACCCTGGGCTTGTACATGCTTCATAATATACCGTGCTCTAGGCGTGGAATAGGCTTCAGCCACATAAATAAATCACATGGAGGGTATTAGAATATCCTCCAACCTGCGGTCAGACATACACTGCAAGGAATGTCACTAGGAGTCACGTCCACGCATTTCACCATGTATTTTATATATACGTGTAGTATTTTACAGTACACCAGCACTAATCCTGATCTTGGTTTCCTCACTATGCCAGCTTGGTCAGCAAATCCTTTAATTAATCAATTAATATTTCAACCAGATGAGTGTGTAACTATGTATGCATGATGTTATTCACTAACGATACAAATGAACTCTGTTCAAGGCTAAAAGCATATATATCTGCCCCAGCAACTATGGATATTATACAATCAAAATAATACAAAAAGAATAGCTGCACAAAAAGCGGACTATATACAGTATGACCAGAAAATATTGACAATTTTGGGAATATGTTTTATTGGATTTCTAGTATAAACAACCTTGACCAGCTATGAAGTGCTTGGTTTCATTCAAGAGAGACAACTCCGCTCATCCTTTTCATTAGTTTATGAAGAGTTATCCCCCTTTGTTTACTTGCTAGCAGACGACATTTTCAGTGATCCTCAGCATGGATGATTTAGAGAAGAGGAAGTTGATTTTAGGGTATTATAACAAGGACATCAGATCAGCTAAAGTGATTTCAAGTAGAACAGACATCCCTTTGTCCACTGTTTATCGTGTTTTGAAAAATATTGCAAATGGATATGGCATTGAGCACCAGGGAGGCGCAGGTAGGCCCAGAAATTGACTGTCGGTGACAGGAGGCGGCTTGGTATTCTTGTTTCTAAAAACAAACGAAGGAGTTTAGAAAACTTAAGGCTGGATATGATTGATAGAGGAACTGTGGCTGTCTGTAAGGAGACAATTAGAACTGAGCTGCAATGGGTTGGCAGAAAAGTCGAGGCATTCCACCAGCGATCATGAATCCTGAACAAAAGGAGCGAAGGTTGAACTGGTGCTTACAGCATAGAAATTTTAATTGGGTTAATGTGATTTTCTCAGATGAAAGTTCTGTGTGGCTGTTTCCTAATACACTGAAATTCTGGACCAAACAAACTGAAAAACCATTGTATCCGCACCCAAAGTACAGTCCGAAATTTAACGTGTGGGGTGGCATATCTGTGTTAGGGGCAACGCCCCTGTGTGTATTTGAAGGGAATATGAACAGTGAGCGGTTCACAGATATTCTCGAGGGACATTTACTTCCATCTGCTCACGTGTTTTATGGATATGTTTGGATTTTCCAGCAGGACAACGACCCAAAACATCGTTCAAAGCATTCACAGGCCTGGTTTCGGACCCAAAATATGACATTATTAGATTGGCCAGGCTATAGCCCTGACCTAAATCCAATAGAAAATGTTTGGGGACTTATGAAAGAAAGTGTCAATAAGAAAAATCTGACAAATTTTGCTGAAATGAAAGAAGAGGTGGTCCGATATTGGGACAGCATGGACCACGACTTTCTAACTTCTTTGATCAGTAGTATGCCTCGCCGCATTGAAGCCTGCATTGCTGCCCATGGTGACTTGGCAAAATACTAACTGTTCACCTGTTTTTGAATCTGGAGTTATGTTCTGCTAATATTCACATTTAATACGTGAGTAATGAGTGAAAAAAAAAAAATTACAACCTATAAATTCTCAATAATTTCTGGTTGTACTATATTATGATAGTTTCAAAACATGCTAACGTGTGCCTATAGACCAGATTAGCCAGTATAGAACTAGCAAGTCAATCTCCCTGTGTTGAATAAAAGAAACCTTGGGTGATATATGCTGTGCGTGTCATACTAAATGAATGGACTATAGACATAATTGTTCGTTTATTAAACACTGGTTTGTCTGGTTCAAAATCGACTTGAGGTTTGTCTTGTGTTATTTCAGAGTAAATCATTGAGCAAGGGCCGCTTTGAGCAGTATTTCATTTATGACGTGGCAACATAAATGTGTGATGTGAGTGAGTTTAGTTTGACGCCGCTTTTAGCAATATTCCAGCAATATCACGGCGGGGGGCACCAGAAATGTACACATGTGGGGAATCGGCGTGACGAGCAAGCGGTTTAACCACTAGGCTACCCCACCGCCCCAAACGTGTGATGTACATACAGTATAGGCGGATCCAGGTGTGTGACCATTGAAATACTCGTGAAAACGGGTGAAAACTATGCTTCCCCTTTTCTCAAAAGGCTGTACCCACCCCTGATATAATTGACAGAATAATAATCATGGCCATGTACGCACTGGTAGGGAACTTGGTCACAGTGAGAGTGGAGTCTTTGTGATTTTTGCGACGGAAACTTTGCGATATGTCACAGAGTCTTTGTGATTTTAGCATCATCAAGGGAAGGGTAAGGTACGGTAAATGGCCTGTATGCCTACAAAATCAATATTACAAGAGAGTTGAATTCACATTTACTTACAATAGGTTTCCATCAGTAACAAGTAAATATTATGATGTTCAGAAAGCGACTGATAATCATGTAAAACCATTAATTGTCACGAAATTAATCCTTTTTGATAAATAATCGGTATATTGTGACAAATGACCCCATAAAGAAGTGTAAAAATAATACAATGTGTTCCGATTAGTGTTTATCCCCTTTCGTCATAAAGCATGTGCTGTTTTATCAGCGATAAAAGCGTACATATCAATTTCCATGCATTGGTCTTATGTCACAGAAACTTTGTGATTACGAAATTGATGTAACGGAAAATTCACTCATTGTCACAGGTACTGTCCAGATTGATGTTTGCATAGAGGTTTACAAAGTGACTAGAATGAATCCGGCAATTTACAAACTGACTGATTCGTCCAATCTGGACAGTCACTGTCCAGATTGGACGAATCATACCCCGTCTACTCCATTTTGTGATCATACAACAGCATCAGCATCGATCTACGCAACTGGGATGGGATAACATGTGTCAACCAAGTCAACAAGCCTGATCACCCGATCCCGTTAGTCGCCTCTTACGACAAGCACGGGTTGCTGAAGACTAATTCTAACAAGTATCTTCACGAATGGTTTTAATCATAACTGAACTTATATGGAAGAAAATAAATACATGTTGATGCAACTGATAGTGCTTCCCCTCTACTATATTTACTTACACATTAAAGCACCTGCATCTGTTGGTTGCACACTGCTTGCCACTCTTAGAACATCCGCCAATGCAAAATTTTAACTTCAATGTGGTCTTTAGTCATTTTCAAGTGTGTGTGTGTGTGTGTGTGTGTGTGTGTGTGTCCAAACGCCCTCTCCCACTCCCCACAACACAACACAAAAAACAAAACAAAAAAACACACAACAACACACATCTTGGATCCGCCAATGGACTGCATGTCATCCAAGTTTACTTGTCCACGAGATCCATAGTCCTTGGATAGTATATAGGCCTAACCACTGCACCTTTAGGTGTTGAACGCTTACGTTTCTTGTGACACTCGATCGATGCAGAGAGACTTGTAAAGTTCAATAGTTTCACTGGTGATGTTTGCATACTTTCAGGTAATTTACAAAGTGACTGAATGAATCCGGCAATTTACAAACTGACTGAAACTTTCAGGCAATTTACAATATAACATTGCCTGTGTTGATAAATCATCTAAAATTCTGTTCGTTTGTTAACTGTTAAATTTATACATAGCCGTTTCTATTTATCACGACCCTCTCAGGACTGTGCAGTTTTGCCACAAGTGTAGCATATGACACATATTTATACCGATATGAATAACTCTTTCAAATGTACCTAGCCACGTTGACGCAATTAATTTTCTATTAGCGCCATATACTCGAGTACAGCGCATGTTCAGTGCATTGAATATCTGACACGCACCTGTCCGAACTATACTTTTTGCACGGTTGCGTACTCGTAATATCCGCCCATATTCGCTGACACGAGATATACGGGCACCCAGTTTTACTGCTTGTTGTTGACGACAAAGCTTGGTCACGTGATTCTCCCGGACAACGCAGGTGTTATGGTTCTAGACAAACCTCATTGATTGCTCTGAATATTTTATGGATAAGGGTGATTTTATGTTCAAGATGGATACCATGTAGGTGACAGAATCTAAGTGCCTATATTTCAGTTTTGTTTCTTTATTTCATCACCAGATCACAAAACGGCCCAAGATGAGCCACGTTGATACAAGGTAAGACATCAAAACGTTGAGTAGGTAGCAATTTCTCCGTCCTCCACCGCTGAGAAATCTACGACGGCGGAATGTAGCGGTACAATGGCGGTGGGTAATCAACAATACCACCCGTTGTTAGAAACCCTCGCCGACAAGTAAAATAACGGAATTTAAATAACATATGACAATAATCTCAAACTGACATAAGGAAACAAATGCTTCATGATTTAATCAAACTTAGACCACACGACCTACTTCGATGGCAGGTTGATCTAATGTTATGATTTGCCTAGACAAGTCAAACAGTGGGACATTTTGCTGTAAAACGACAGGATTAAGTCTTCAGTTTACCATACCAAAACCAGTGATAATTTTCCCATACAAATAGCAATGTTTACCGTTACATAATATATCACATATCGTATATAAGTTAGTAGGGAAAATAAACATTTATTTTGTTTTCCTTTTCTGCTGAGCATGTGGTATTGGTTTAAAGCTACTGGAAACATGTAAGCTAATTCACTGTGTCAGCTATAGAATATGGGAGGAAAGCCTAAAACAATCCATGTTATACAATGACTCACAATGAATGTACATAGCTGCATTTTCAAAGTTAAAAGATAACATAATTGTAGATAATTACAAATGTATATAGAATATTCATTTTTTTAAATCAGCTTTTACTATCTAACATTCCCTTGTCACTATTATTGATGTCATTGCTGATTTTGCACTGACCTTCACAAACTCTGTGCTAGTGCATATACAATATATGTTGACATTTTGAGCCCATTATCTTGAGTGCATCTATCATTTCTATTGAAAATGTATTTTGCGGGATGATGATGATTTATTATTGGTCAAGCATGTACTTGTGGCTAGGGGATGATGATGATTTTTATGGAGAAGCATAAACAATTGAAAGACCCCCGTCCCCTAAAATTCACGTAAGTGACCCCTGCATGTCATGTACAAAATGAATGCCTCCCCCACCTCATTCCCAGGATTTTTAAGCAAAAAGTTTTAATATTTTCATGTATGAAATTGCTAAATTAGTTAAGAAACAAGGGTTAGATATAGAGTCACACCAAATTTCAAGCTCTCTGATATCCCAAAAACCTTTTATTTATATCAAAAATATATTCAACTGTTCAATTTCTGTTGTGTTATTTTTCTGTCTTAAATGTATTGTAAGACATTTCTTAATATTGTAACATCTGAAGGTCTGAAGTTATGGCCATCACTGGGCGCAGTTGGCCTTTTCAATTTCTTTAAACGTCTCGATGATGAATCAGAATGGAGTTTTATCAGAATTATTATGTTTGTCAGCCTTTTAATTTCATGCAATCAGTATAAGAATATGTCTTTTATTCTTCCCACAAGATCCAATTTCAGTAACATTAACTTAAAAGGATGTCAGATAGTGGGAAAGATAACCTCTTGAAAATGAATTCAAGAAACACTTTTTCTTTTAAATTAATTGGGTTTTTTTCTTAGAATACCTTAAACAGATTACTTGACTCTTTTTCTAGTTTTTATTTCTTATTTCAACCCCCAACCCAACTGCTAAGAAAAAAAAGGTTCTAACATTGTAAAACAATGTTTCATATTTTGGATGGGAAATGCTGCATACACAAGAACCCCACATGTGTATTTGCAGGTTTTTATCTTTTAGTAGATAAGAACAACTATTGTTTTGTGCAGTTTTTAAAGTATAGTGTAGCAATGTTTACATTAGGCCAGACCAATTGAAGTGTATATGGGGCAAAAAACAACCTTAAAACGATTTACTTTTAAATTTACAGTTTTGGCCAATTAAAACATTAGGATTTTATTTTTTGAGCGGGGAAAATCAATTATTTTTTTTTCTTATTCTTGAAAAAATACGACTGGTGGATCGGTAAAAAAAGAAATAACAGTGATCTGGTCTTACCATGTGTTCATATTATGAATGTCAAATATTACACACACTTATCATTGGAGTGATCGAGTGAGTGAGTATGGTTTAACGCTGCTTTCAGCAATATTCCAGCAATATCATGGCGGGGGATGCCAGAAATGGGCTTCACACATTGTATCCATGTAGGGAATCGAACCCGGGTCTTTGGCGTGATGATCGAACGCTTTAACCACTAGGCTACCCCACCGCCCCCTTATCAATGGAGGGGCGGTGGGGAAGCTTAGTGGTTAAAGCGTTCACTCATCACGCCGAAAACCCAGGTTTGATTCTCCACATGGGCACAATATGTACTGTAAAGCCCATGTCTGGTGTTCCCCGCTGTGATATTATTGGAATATTGCTAAAAGCAGCATAAAACTAAACTAATTCACTCACTCACTTATCATTGGACTTTCATTGTGCACTGTCATCATTCTAAGAGCTTGACATTATGTTGCAGTCAACTGTCGGGTTATAACAGCCTGAGTGACAAGCACCTGGCTGGCTACTTTGCCAACGACAGGATGCGTGGACATCTACGCAAATCGGGCCTGGTTCGTAATTGTTTTCTACATTTTGAGATATAAATGTTTATAAGACTGTGTGTTATCAATTTTTTTTCCAGTAATTATGATGACTGTTGTACTGATTATGGAATAACTGCTAAGGTTCTTTCTAACTCAAAGAGAAAGATATTACAAAATATGTACATGTGGGATGTAAGTTCATTTTCTGTTCAAATGACTCAATATTTTCTTTTGGAATTGATCATCTCATGAAAAATATAAATTAATTGCAATCAAGTTAATATTGGTGATAATGTTTTGAAATAATGTTTATAATTAATGTGATTATGAAATAGTTTGTTCTGATGTCCTTGCTCTCTATGTAGACATTTCTAGAAGATATGGCCAGAAAGCACAGATTCTAGATAAAACTGGGTTTTGTTTCACAAAATTTCTTTGTATATAACAAATTCTAACCAGAAGGAATATATTAATATAATATTTTATCAATATGTTATTTTTTCTTCAGATCACTCGCCGTGGACAAATTGTTTCCGAGACAAGCTACCGCTTGAACATAGCTCGTAAGGAACACAAGAAGCATGTGAAGGATCTCCTGGCACAGGCTATCGTCCACAAGACACTGGACCTGGAGCGACATCGCCAGGTGGCCATCCGACAGAAACTGGAGGAGATAGCCAAGATAGAGCTGGTGCAGAGAGTCAAGGTAGGTGTCACAGGGCAGGTGTCATGGAATAGGTGTCATTGGATAGATGTCATGGAATAGGTGTTGTATAGTATTTGTAATATGGTAGACATTGCCAGGTGGCCATCCGACAGAAACTGGAGGAGATAGCCAAGATAGAGCTGGTGCAGAGAGTCAGGGTAGGTGTCACAGGGCAGGTGTCATGGAATAGGTGTTGTATAATAGTTGTAGCAAGGGAGACATTGTACAGCAAAGGTGTTGCAGGATTGGTGTCAAAGAGTAGGTGTTGAAGGATGGATGTTTGCAGGATAGGTGTTCCAGGTTTGGTGTTGCAGAACAGGTGTTGAAGAATAGGCGTTTCAGGATAGGTGTCACAGGACAGGTGGAGCAGAATAGGCATTGTATGATGGGTGTCACAGAATAGATGTTGCAGGATAGTTGTTGCAGAATAGTTATTGCAGGATAGATGTCTTAGTCCAGTATCTGACAGTCGGCATGTAAATAATGTTAGGAATGTGTGTCCTGATATGTATCATGCAACGGATGTCACAGGGGAGATGTAAGAGAGAAGATGCACTTCCCATATTTATGATTATAAACTACCGGACAACAGAAAGTAACTGAAAAGAGGATTTTACCAAAAAGTACAAACATTATAAAAACGTTAACATGAAAATGACTATTTCTTTTTTCTCTGACTTTGGTCATGAGAGGATTCTTTCTTTTGCCTGTGAGTTTATGAAGTTTATACATGTATCTTGGAGACATAATACACTTGATAGTTGAGAATGAAAAAAACCGATGGAAATGTGATATAATTCCTTGTCACTTTATGTTTTTTAAATGTATGATATATATTCTAACGTTTTGTCCACTGTATATTATTCACGAAATAACTGAGTATTGTGGGCCACAGGAGAATAGGAATCGGCATGTGGTTGACGAAGCTCTCCTGCCCCTGATCACAGCGAGTCCACGGGAGAAGGACTCCATCCCTAAACGTCGTACCCGATCTCGATCTGGGGGTAAAAGGGGCAGGAGTGATTCTCCTCGTTCCCGAGGCCATCAAACCCCCAGCCCCCGATTTGGGCAGTATGCTGAGAATGACCTGCTTATTGAAGAACGGGTACACACACATACCTTGTTTGTGTGGCTTGGCATTAACCTTGCACCTCTTCACAGCAGCTATAACCTTGTGATACTAGTCCATCTAATTCTTTAAAGGTTGAAATATGATAAGAGCCAACTGGATATTTAAAGTTCTGAAGTTATGAAAATGTTTAACATTCTGTTATGAAAGTGATACGATCTGTTCATAAGATACGATCTTTCACTCACTTGCATCTTGTTTACTTTTGATGTGATCACATGCAGAAGGAAGTTCTGAAATGAACAAATAAAAACAATTTTTCCAACTGTTGGAAATTGTAAAAGTAAGAGCAAGTTGTCATTAATGATGAATTTTTCACCATATGCTTATACCATCTTAGCCTACATCTTTTAGAAAATAATAGACTTAATCATGCCGAAATATCTGCCATTTTGAAATATATTTTTGCAATGCCTCTGCAATTTCTGTTGATAAAAGTCTACAACAAGCAGGAAAAATGTCACATAGGTCATTTGAACAGTTCTGTTCACATTGTAACAATTTTAAAGCATTTTCATAATTTCTCAATATTGCCACTTTTAGTATGTAAAAAAGAGCCTCATACCTTGTCACTTTCATTTGTTGACAAGTGTGTTTGATCATATGAGTTGATGAAGAATACTTTGCTGTTTATCAGCACGATCAATACTGAGAAATTCATAAAGCAATAAAATAACTTGGATGTTTTAATAAATGATTTACCCAAATTTTACATTCAGGTTTGGACTGCATCAATTTTAAAATTGAAAAATAAAAAGAGTAAATGAAACAAAATGTGAAATCTTATTTTTGATGAGTTGATGAGGTTGTATATGGTAGAAAAGTGACTGATGTAAGTTCTGGCGGTATGGTACACAAGGACTATGGTTGCTGTGTTGATGTGAAATTAACATGACAGTTTGCCTTTTTGCAGTGAGCTACTTATCATTCTGTGGAGTTGATAGACAGCTATAGACGCAGCCACCTGCCATAGATATGCTTAACATGAATGCATTTGATATTAATGATAATCCATTTCATCACTAGTTAGAGATTGTTTAATTTAGATCTTTTCCAAACCATTTTGAATAGATAAATTCACTTCAGTTCATGTTCTTTCTTGAGGCCAAACATATCCTTAGCTACAGCATCTGATAATATTCATGAATCAACTGTTTACTTTATCCCAGAGTATTCCTTCCGTCTCCAAATAAACTAGCATATAGGCTCTTAAATATACATGTAGTTACGTATAAGGTTAAATGAAAGGTATAATTCTACAAGTCTTACCTGTGAATATCAAAGGAACACTTAAGAGCTGCTAGAGTTGAGATGGGGATGAGTATAGGCTGCTAGAGTTGTGATGGGGATGAGTATAGGCTGCTAGAGTTGAGGAGGGGATGAGTATAGGCGGCTAGAGTTGAGATGGGGATGAGTATAGGCTGCTAGAGTTGAGATGGGGATGAGTATAGGCTGCTAGAGTTGAGATGGGGATGAGTATAGGCTGCTTGAGAGTTGAGATGGCTGCTAGAGTTGAGATGGGGATGAGTATAGGCTGCTAGAGTTGAGATGGGGATGAGTATAGGCTGCTAGAGTTGAGATGGGGATGAGTATAGGCTGCTAGAGTTGAGATGGGGATGAGTATAGGCTGCTAGAGTTGAGATGGGGATGAGTATAGGCTGCTAGAGGGGATGAGTATAGGAGATGGGGATGAGTATAGGCTGCTAGAGTTGAGATGGGGATGAGTATAGGCTAGAGCTGCTAGGGGAGTTGAGATGGGGATGAGTATAGGCTGCTAGAGTTGAGATGGGGATGAGTATAGGCTGCTAGAGTTGAGATGGGGATGAGTATAGGCTGCTAGAGTTGAGATGGGGATGAGTATAGGCTGCTAGAGTTGAGATGGGGATGAGTATAGGCTGCTAGAGCTGAGAAGGGGATGAGTATAGGCTGCTAGAGTTGAGATGGGGATGAGTATAGGCTGCTAGAGCTGGAGCTGAGATGGGGATGAGTATAGGCTGCTAGAGCTGAGATGGGGATGAGTATAGGCTGCTAGAGCTGAGATGGGGATGATAGGCTAGCTGAGATGGCTGCTAGAGTTGAGATGGGGATGAGTATAGGCTGCTAGAGTTGAGATGGGGATGAGTATAGGCTGCTAGAGCTGGGGATGAGTATAGGCTGCTAGAGTTGAGATGGGGATGAGTATAGGCTGCTAGAGTTGAGATGGGGATGAGTATAGGCTGCTAGAGTTGAGATGGGGATGAGTATAGGCTGCTAGAGTTGAGATGGGGATGAGTATAGGCTACTAGCTGCTAGGATTGAGATGGGATGAGTATAGAGCTAGAGATGGGGGGGATGAGTATAGGCTGCTAGAGCTGAGATGGGGATGAGTATAGGCTGCTAGAGTTGAGATGGGGATGAGTGGCTGCTAGAGCTGAGATGGGGATGAGTATAGGCTGCTAGAGCTGAGATGATGAGTGCTAGAGTTGAGGTGGGGATGAGTATAGGCTGCTAGAGTTGAGATGGGGATGAGTATAGGCTGCTAGAGTTGAGATGGGGATGAGTATAGGCTGCTAGAGTTGAGATGGGGATGAGTATAGGCTGCTAGAGATGAGATGGGGATGAGTATAGGCTGCTAGAGTTTAGATAGTATAGGCTGCCATGGGGATGAGTATAGGCTGCTAGAGTTGAGATGGGGATGAGTATAGGCTGCTAGAGGCTGAAAAGGGGATGAGTATAGGCTGTTAGAGCTGAAAAGGGGATGTAGTATAGGCTGTTAGAGCTGAAAAGGGGATGAGTATAGGCTGTTAGAGCTGAAAAGGGGATAAGTATAGGCTGTTAGAGCTGAAAAGGGGATGAGTATAGGCTGTTAGAGCTGAAAAGGGGATAAGTATAGGCTGTTAGAGCTGAAAAGGGGATGAGTATAGGCTGTTAGAGCTGAAAAGGGGATGAGTATAGGCTGTTAGAGCTGAAAAGGGGATAAGTATAGGCTGTGAGAGCTGAAAAGGGGATGAGTATAGGCTGTTAGAGCTGAAAAGAGGATGAGGGATTGAATGGGGGTGAATGTTTTGTTAAATATGTGCCTTTGGTTTGTAAGAAAGACCTATGTCCATACTGATTGTATATTTGACCTATCATCACTCCCAACTTGTTAGCAAGCCTGTATTTAAGGAAAGTACAACAATAACTATGTTTGTTTTTAATTCAACTGTATTGTTATTGTCAAAACTGGCCGTTATTTCTACATACCTGATATAAATGATTTTACCTGTTAACATTTAATAGCACATCATCTTTGTTTTAGCATTATATACTGAACAGCAAAAGTAACGCAAGTCTGGCTTTTTGTCAAGTTTTTTAATAGAAGACAACCAAAATCATGTTTAATCATTTATTCTATAGAAAACACTGTCAATTTAACAGTTGAAAGTTGTTGTTGACATTGAATTGCAATAAGTTCAAATTGATCACAGTCCGTCAAATGGAGATACCCCTGAACGCGAAAAGTGACAGTCTCTTTTGTAGCGCGTATAGCCACCTTGAGCTTGCACACAGGCCGTGCAACGTGGCCTCATTGAGTTCACTAGAGTCTGAAAGACTGCCTGAGGCAACTGGTTCCGCTCAAACACCAATCTGTATTCCAATTGTGCAAGTGTGAGTGGCTGTCTACCTGCCCCAATCCTCCGTCCAATTTCGTCCCAGAATGTTCAAAGGGAGCCATATCCGGGAAAGAGATGGCCATGGAAAAACGTTAACATTGTTCTGAGCCAGATGATCCATCAACACCCTTGCTGTGTGAGGGCTGCTGGCGTTGTTGACGTTGTCAAAACTGGCCCCACAAATGGCCGTCCGCAGTGGATTCCAGCAGCCCGAAGACGGCGCCTAATCGTATCCCTGGACACTGCTCCACTTGACCCTAGAACTAAGGCTGCTGTTACTGTTTCTGTTTGAGTTCAGTTCTTTAGATGAGTGACCCGGATGAACCGATCTTGCATATGAGTTGTCACTCGTTGTCGTCCGGTACGGGGACGATCAGCAGCAACCCCGGTTTGCTGATTACGTTGAGCAAGTCATGTAGTGTGGTAAGATGACAGCCCAATTGTCTAGCTACAGCGGTTGCAGAGCTACCTCCGTGTAACTTTCCAATGGCCACTCTCCTCTGCTCAGTCGTTAGTCTAGGCATCGTTTGTGTGGCGTGTACACCTCCTAGCATCAATACTGAACTGTTGTTTGACACAAACCTTTATAAAGAATACCTCAGAGTGAAATGCATGCTTTCCATCCAGAACCGTCAATGCACGTGCTAAAATTATGGTTTTGCTGCACTGTTGGTGTGTTTGTGCGAATGGTTCGTATGGACGTCAAATTGCACGACATCTCATCTGGGATCATTACGTCACTTTACCATGAACGTTCCATAAACATGAACGCTTACCTACATGAAATTTCATTTTTTCGAAACTTGCGTTTCTTTTGCTGTTCAGTATAGTTCATTTAGACAGAACGTTTTAGACAAGCAATTAGTTATTAGATCCATGCTCTTGTAACAGCCTAGCATTCCTACAGATAATAGCATCCTAGTGTACACTATACAAGATAGAATAGTCAAGATAGTCCAGTATCATCATCATCATCATCATACAGGCACCCATCAGATTATAGAACCTTGATACAGTGTGTATCATGATACATAGATGGCATTATGTACCAGCTTATGAGATACCTGTCAGTCCATACACCAATGTATTACACACAGGCATAAGCATTGTAGGGCAACATGATACTCTTTTGTTTCCTATTTACTTTCTACCTGCAAAACGACAATGGTATTTGCCAGTCATATTGTACACGGAATATATAACTTGTACGCATAATTTATAAGGTCTCATTGTTCTAAAGATAGCTATTGCTTGGTCTTTCTAGTGAAAGTGTATATAAAATCAGACTGTCAAAGTTGAAAATCAGTAAGGAAATAGGAGACTAGAGGACAGACTGAGGCTGTGTATCAAGACACACAAAGGGATCATAATGGTATCATAATCAGAATATTTATCATTTTGGCAGAAACAAATAATTCTATTTAACTTGAAAAGGAGCTCCAGTGAAATGGGAGATTAAGAGATTCTGAACTAGAGGAGAATCTAGACATGGTTCATTTAGGGTCTTTGCTTTGTAGAAAGGGCGGGGCAGAAATTAACATAATGAGGTTACAGTTTTTGAGATGATTGAGGATCATTGTATCAATGTCCGAAAATAGGCACCTGAAAATAGGTTAAGCTCCAAACCTTCCGTATTGCAATGGTTGCCATGGAAATCGATACAATAGATTATTAAACATAATTAATTGAAGTTTCTCCATTTGAGAATGTTAGTTTAAAACAAGAACACATGTGTTATGCCTAAACAATTAATACAGGACATTATTCCAAGAAAGCGGTTGTTTTATAAAGAAATATGTAGTTGGTGCTGCTTAACATTTTTCTAGCAGTATAAACAAAGACCTGACCAACATGGGTTGCGATGCTTGATTCATATGACCCTTTTTCTGTAGCATGCATCACCAACAGCTCTCGTGACAGATCGGACCACCATCATGGACCCACTAGCCATCATACATAGTCATCATCATCATCATCACTATCATGCACTATCCATACTATCCTTGTAGACACAGCGTGTTCGGAGGAGCGATGAGGATATCTTGCCCTTCCTATCCCCTCGCTCTAGCCGGCCCCAGTCAGGGCCCTCACCACGCCCCCGCCGCCACCGCTCGGCAAAGTACCGGCCTATCAGTGCACCCTCTAACATGCCAGATACTAACTCCTCAGTGTACGAATCCGTTGATGAGGATGGGGACGTGAGTTTTCGTAACATTTTCACGTTGTGCAATGCTGTGCTATTCACTGAAGTAGTTACTGCTAATTTGGCTAGTTTAATGCTGATTGGAACTTACTGATTTGAAAAAAACATGAAATGTATAGTTTGAATAGATCAGTAGTGGATATGTGATATTGCTACAGCCACGGCAAGTATCATTGTAAATATTATTGATAATATCAGAAGAAAATGTCATCTGTTAAAATGTAATCATGTTGATAGATGTCACAAATTTGGTGTGTATTGTTAAAAGTCCTGTTTTAATCATTCCTTTTTTCGATGTTCATAATTGAAAGAGAATCACATATTTACATCCGAAATAATTTAGATTTGTGATGTCAAAATATTAATTTATTGACTGAAATATGGATCCAGTAATCCATTATTGTTGGGTTAATATACCGGGTAATGAGCACAGAAACATTTCATTGATGAACACTTACTAAAAGGCTTTCTTCAAATTCATTTACATCCTCTATGTAGGTGATCTATGTTGATGACGACGGCAACACTATCGACATGTCGGACTGTGAACAAGGTGTTGTACGATCTGGACGTAGCAGAACTCCTCGCAACAGGGAGGAGGTGGATACCAGACACCTCTACTCTGTAAGGAATTCGTCTTGCTTTGCTGTATTTATCTGGACATAACATGAGTATTATGATGACTCCATCACAAAGCATAACATACCCTGGAATCTTTGGATGGTGTTAGTGATTTAAGGGGAAAACACCCTTTTGGATGTTAGTTTATAAAGAAATATTTTTGGGACTGATATTCATGTTTCTCTTGAAACTAGATTCCATTTTGGAAAACTTAATGAATAACAGTAATTTATTTATTTGCATGAATAGCCCTATCAATGTTTACATTCCTAATTGTGGTGGTATTCTTGATTTTCTGCCACCGTTTGGTGATCATCTGACAAAGGCCACATTATGGACAAAATGGCTAATGTCAGATTCATTGTGGAGTACATCAGGGTGACATAGCGAAGAGGATACATAGATCATATTACCCTGCTGTCCAGCTAGTTATTGACAGAGAATGTCAATCTCTGCACATGGGTTGCGATGTCTTTCCATGTCTGCTACAGGATGGTGGTCTTTCTGGAACTACTTCATGTCCTTTGTCATGTTTTAAGGAACGGGGGGGATTGTAGGAGATTTCACGGATCATAAATACGGACCATTCCTTTGGTGCGAAATGCGTGAATTAATTTTTGTATTAACATGGGCAGTATTTCAGACATATTGTGACTAAAACTACATTAATAATATTGGGTTTTTAAGCTATAAAACCTGTGTAAAATTACCACGGATGGTTAAAGATATCATGTGACATGTACGCTGTTCACTTCTTCTTTCAGCTGAACCCTCTTGCCCTGCGGCGTTACGCTAATGCCCTGGCTAAGGTGGAGCAGGTTAACACCTTGGCTTCCCCATATCTGATTCCACAGATACCAATACCCCCCTCGTCCCCCCGTACTGGCACCGCCCGACATCGCAGTGCTGGAAACAGGGGGCGTTCTACCAGCAGTGACAAGTCACCAAAACGGAGTGTATGTTTTGCTTCATACTTGGAATTACATTATATTGAAGAAAATGTTGTTATAATATTTCAACAAATTTCATATATTTTTTTTAAATGTGTACTGTTTGATTGGCTATGTGTTTTATCATGTTTTCAGATTGTTCATTTTCTTTGACATTAGCTGATTGTACTGGTAACTGTTTTTCAAATTTGGTAATGGTGCTGATGTTGTTGCTGATGTTGTTGTTGATGTTGCAGCCTGGGGTTGATCTCCACCGGAGAGAGCAACCGATGAGACACCAGGGGGACGTCCACTCTAACTGTGTGATGACCATGAAGTTCCATGGCTGGGCCCTCAAACTGGCTCGGGAGAGAACCGACAACCGACAAAATGTCACTGTGGAGCAGCAGCATTGTGGGGGCAACACCCTGACTGTGTTCAAGGGACTCATAGAGCCAGGAAGTGAGTATTACAGAGCCCGAGCCAGGAAGTGGATATCAGGGACCTCATTGAGCCAGGAGTGACTATTAGAGTCTCATTGAGCCAGGGTGTGAATATATGGGTCTTGTTTGGCTAGTAATGAGAATAAGAGTCTGGATCTTAGGGACCTCTTTGAGCCAGGAAGGAAGTATTATTAGGGACCTCATTGAGACAGGAAGTATTATTGGGGACCTCATTGAGACAGGAAAGTATTATTGGGGACCTCATTGAACCATGAAGTATTATTAGGGACCTCATTGAGACAGGAAGTATTATTGGGGACCTCATTGAGACAGGAAGTATTATTAGGGACCTCATTGAGCCAGGAAGTATTATTGGGGACCTCATTGAGCCAGGAAGTATTATTGGGGACCTCATTGAGCCATTGAGCCAGTAAGTATTATTGGGGACCTCATTGAGCCAGGAAGCCAGGAAGTATTATTAGGGGACCTCATTGAGCCAGGAAGTATTATTAGGGACCTCATTGAGACAGGAAGTATTATTGGGGACCTCATTGAGACAGGAAGTATTATTGGGGACCTCATTGAGCCAGGAAGTATTATTGGGACCTCATTGAGCCAGGAAGTATTATTGGGGACCTCATTGAGCCAGGAAGTATTATTAGGGACCTCATTGAGACAGGAAGTATTATTGGGGACCTCATTGAGCCAGGAAGTATTATTGGGGACCTCATTGAGCCAGGAAGTATTATTGGGGACCTCATTGAGCCAGGAAGTATTATTGGGGACCTCATTGAGCCAGGAAGTATTATTGGGGACCTCATTGAGCCAGGAAGTATTATTGGGGACCTCATTGAGCCAGGAAGTATTATTGGGACCTCATTGAGCCAGGAAGTATTATTGGGGACCTCATTGAGCCAGGAAGTATTATTAGGGACCTCATTGAGCCAGGAAGTATTATTGGGGACCTCATTGAGCCAGGAAGTATTATTGGGGACCTCATTGAAGCCAGGAAGTATTATTAGGGACCTCATTGGAGCCAAGTATTATTAGGGACCTCATTGAGCCAGGAAGTATTATTAGGGACCTCATTGAGCCAGGAAGTATTATTGGGGACCTCATTGAGCCAGGAAGCAAGTATTAAGTATTGGGGACCTCATTGAGCCAGGAAGTATTATTGGGGACCTCATTGAGGGGAAGTATTATTGAGGACCTCATTGAGACAGGAAGTATTATTAGGGACCTCATTGAGCCAGGAAGTATTATTGGGGACCTCATTGAGACAGGAAGTATTATTGGGGACCTCATTGAGCCAGGAAGTATTATTGGGACCTCATTGAGCCAGGAAGTATTATTGGGGACCTCATTGAGCCAGGAAGTATTATTAGGGACCCATTATTAGGGACCTCATTGATTGAGACCTCAGAGCCAGGAAGTATTATTCTCATTACTTGAGGGACCTCATTGAGCCCTTGAGCAGGAAGTATTATTGGGGACCTCATTGAGGGAAGTATTATTGGAACCTCATTGAGACAGGAAGTATTATTGGGGACCTCATTGAGACAGGAAGTATTATTAGGGACCTCATTGAGACAGGAAGTATTATTAGGGACCTCATTGAGACAGGAAGTATTATTGGGGACCTCATTGAGCCAGGAAGTATTATTGGGGACCTCATTGAGCCAGGAGTACATTATAAGGGTTTCATTGAGCCAGGGTTATACACGTCTCATTGGGCTAGAAATGAGTGTAAGGGGGCTAATCAGCCAGGAAGTGAATATAAGTGTCTTGTTGAGCTCAGAAGTGTGTATAGGTCCATCACAGAGCTAAGAAGTGAGTATGGGAGACTTATCAAGAACAAGAAGATAATGTAGGCATCTCACTGAGTCACAAAAGTGAGTTAAGGGCGGCAACCAGAGGATATAAAGAGGGTCACTGAAAGCACTTGTAGAACATTTAAAGTAGCAAGTTTGTGTTTAATTAACAAAATGTGTAGACTTGCGTAACACTTAGTGCTTGTCTCCAGGTACGTTCAGCTTCACCTCAAAGCGTCATCGGGGCTACCCCTTCAGCCTGACACTGTATGTAGATGGTCGACAAGATGCAAGGGTTAGCACGTGTTGCGAGTTTGGCCACTCCAAGAAAGTCCGACTGGGAGCCAAGCAAGGTCACTTCAGCTTTGTTGGCATCAAGGGAATGAATCCTTGCTACAAGTGAGTGTTGTTGTAACTTGCAGTTTTCAAAATCCTCATGAATGTTCCTTGATGAATTATTCTTTTGTGAGATTTGGACTGCTTATTTGACTGCTGTGTTCCTTGACTATGTGTCTACCTTTTTCAAAAAGAAAGTTATAAGTATATTGAGATGATTGACAAAAGGGCAGAGAGAGTAGAAATGCTATCGAAGTGGGAATTCATCCTTTCAGTCCTCATGGGTGTTAGATAGAGCTTATCACTACAGATTTAGACATCCATTAAGATTTGACAAGTGCATTTGCTGGACACAAAACGTTGTTTCCTGTACACATACGGATTTTGAATTTATGCAAATAAGGTCAACAATGTTTAGTTCCAAATGAAATAAGCTGTACATGTGTTAATAATTAGAAACATCAAAATGATATATTTACATATAACTCATATATGATGTTCTGGGATACAACAATTGTCAAGCTAAGGGTATCCATGGTTACAGGCTGTAGCCATCTATCCTGTGGCAATCTTGCTTATTTCAACTCCTTTTAATCCAGTTAAAGTAGCAGGCACCCATCACAAATTTCACATGTTTTCAAGTGATTTACATTGACCATTTATTGTCCCTTTATAATATACTGAGGGAAACAAATAAGGGAACACATGAAAGTACAAGTGTCCCTTAATACTTTTCTAGGTTTCTTCACAAGCTTTGTATTGTACTGTAGGTGAAAACTCTGAGAATAAATACAGGAACACTGCTGTGAAGTGGTGTTCCCTTATTTGTTTCCCTCGGTACATACAAAGCAGTGGTTGGGTCCATGTTTTGATAGACGGACATGACTGTTTCAGGTGCCAGGTTCAGAAGGGGCTGGTTGGGGGCAAGGCTCCACCCAAGAAGGTGAAAATGCCACCCAGCAACCCTGGGGAGGAGGTGATTGTTGTGAAAACCACGGAGGTACCCCCCAAGGAGACCGAGAATGCTAAACAGTCAGATGAGGAGGAAACAGGTAGGTTATTGGTTGCTGGGATCTAGTGCTGGATATCTGCTGGAATTGTGGGTCATAAAATGTCATGTGATATCTGTGGAGTCATGACATCTCATGTGAGGTTGTGGGGTTATGACACATTATGCATGAAGGGATGGGGTTTTAGCATGATTGGTGTGTTTAATGTTAAGGTGATGGGATCATATCATGTGTGCAAGTGGGTTGTTTGGACATGTCATGTGAGGTTGTGGGGTTATGAAATGTCATGAGATATCTAAGGAGTCATGACATCCCGTATGAGGATGTGAGATCATGACATGTTATTTGTGATGGTGTAGGCTTTTAGCATGTGAGGTATGTGTAGTATGAATGTGTTATGATGTGGGGTCATGACATGTGTTAGGATGGGAGGTCATGACATGTGTTAGGATGGGAGGTCATGACATGTTAGGATGGGAGGTCATGACATGTGTTAGGATGTGGGGTCATGCCATGTGTTATGATGTGGGGTCATGACATGTGTTAGGATGGGAGGTCATGACATGTGTTAAGATGGGAGTTCATGACATGTGTTAAGATGGGAGGTCATGTCATGACATGTGTTAGGATGGGAGGTCATAGCGTGGGATGGGAGGTCATGACGTGTGTTAAGATGGGATTCATGACATGTTAGGACAGGAGGTCATGACATGAAGATGTCATGATGTGTTAGGATGGGAGGTCATGACATGTGTTAGGATGGGAGGTCATGACATGTGTTAAGATGGGAGGTCATCATGATGGGAGGTTAGGATATGGGAGGTCATGACATGTGTTAAGATGTGTTAGGGACGACATGTGTTTGGATGTGGGGGCATTGTATGTGTTAGGATGTAGGGTCATGACATGTGTTAGGATATGTCACGACATGTGTTAGGATGTCATGACATGTGTTATGGACATGTGTTAGGATGACATGTGTTTAGGATGTAGGATCATGATATGTGTTAGGATGTCATGACATGTGTTATGTGTCCACGACATGTGTTAGGGGAGGTCATTATGTGTTAGGATGGGTGGTCATGACATGGGATGGGGAGGTCATGAGCCAGAGGTCATGACATGTGTTAAGATGGGAGGTCATGATGTGTTAGGATGGGAGGTCATGACATGTGTTAAGATGGAGGGTCATGACATGTGTTAAGATGGGTGAGTCATTATGTGTTAGGATGGGAGGTCATGACATGTGTTGGAGGATGTATGACATGTGTCATGACATAATGTGTGTGTGTCATGATATGTGTTAGGATGTAGGAGTCATGACATGTGTTAGGATGTGTGGAGTCCACGACATGTGTTTGGATGTGGGGGCATGACATGTGTTAGGATGAGGATGTAGGGTCATGACATGTGTTAGGATGTGAGGAGTCCACATGTGTTAGGATGGCATCAAAGTCATGACATGTGTTAGGATGTAGGGTCATGACATAATGTTAGGATGTAAATGGTCATGACATGTGTTAGGATGTGGGAAATGACATGTGTTAGGATGTAGAGTCATGACATGTGTTAGGATGTGGGGTCATGACATGTGTTAGGATGCATAGGGTCATGATTATGTGTTAGGATGTGGTGGTCATGACATGTGTTAGGATGTAGGAGTCATAACGTGTTTAGGATGGAGGGTCATGACATGTGTTAGGATGTAGGAGAGGTCATGACATGTTAGGATAGGAGGTCATGACATGTGTTAAGATGGGAGGATCATGGACATGTGTTAGGATGGGAGGTCATGACATGTGTTAGGATGGGAGAAATGACATGCGTGTTAGGATGGGAGGTCATGACATGTGTTAGGATGACATGACATATTTAGGTTATGTGTTAGGATGGAGGTCATGACATGTGTTAGGATGTGTGACATGTGTTAGGATGTAGGGTCATGCGACATGTGTTAGGATGTGGGGTCATGACATGTGTTAGGATGTGGGGTCATGACATGTGTTAGGATGTGGGGTCATGACATGTGTTAGGATGTAGGATCATGACATGTGTTAGGATGTGGGGTCATGACATGTGTTAGGATGTGCGGGTCACGACATGTGTTAGGATGTGGGGTCATGACATGTGTTAGGATGTGGGGTCATGACATGTGTTAGGATGTGTTAGGGTCATGACATGTGTTAGGATGTCATGGGGATCATGACATGTGTTAGGATGTGTTAGGATGTAGGGATCATGACATGTGTTAGGATGTGGGTCATGACATGTGTTAGGATGTAGGATGGACATGTGTTAGGATGTAGGATCATGACATGTGTTAGGATGTGGGGTCATGACATGTGTTAGGATGTGTGGAGGTCCATGACATGTGTTAGGATGTAGGGTCATGACATGTGTTTAGGATGTAGGGTCATGACATGTGTTAGGATGACAGGGTCATGACATGTGTTAGGATGTAGGGTCATGACATGTGTTAGGATGTAGGATCATGACATGTGTTAGGATGTAGGGTCATGACATGTGTTAGGATGTAGGGTCATGACATGTGTTAGGATGTAGGGTCATGACATGTGTTAGGATGTGGGATCATGACATGTGTTAGGATGTAGGGTCATGACATGTGTTAGGATGTAGGATCATGACATGTGTTAGGATGTAGGATCATGACATGTGTTAGGATGTAGGGTCATGACATGTGTTAGGATGTAGGGTCATGACATGTGTTAGGATGTAGGGTCATGACATGTGTTAGGATGTAGGGTCATGACATGTGTTAGGATGTAGGGTCATGACATGTGTTAGGATGTAGGGTCATGACATGTGTTAGGATGTAGGGTCATGACATGTGTTAGGATGTAGGGTCATGACATGTGTTAGGATGTAGGGGTCATGACATGTGTTAGGATGTGGGGGCCATGACATGTGTTAGGATGTGGGGTCATTAGGTGTCGTTTGTGAGGAGATTGTGTCAATTCATGTCATGTGGTGTCATAGTATACCATGTGTGAGGATGAGGGGTCATGGCATGTCATGTGTGAAGATATGGAGTCATGGTATGTCACCGTATGTATGGGATCAGAGTGTATGGGTTCATCACATGTCTTTGTGAGGGCGTGGGTTCATGGTGTGATGGTCTGGGGGCATGACACTGACTTGAGTCAAAAATAACCTCCACGGAAACAGCATATTTCTATACAGTAACTGACAGAGCAGATTATGTTTACGTGTCTGTATTTCAGTGTGATGAGTTGGAATAGCTTCATGTATTGTGCAATGTTGATGTTGTGGCCATTTCAGCCCATGACCAAATCTTGATTCCTGTGGAGGTAGATGGCGATGAGGCACCGAACAATAATGCGGGTATAACTCAGCTTGCTGTGTTTTGGTGTGCTGTTTCCTCACATTGTGTTCCTGGGTTATGTTCTCAGTGTTCCTGTAACTCAAGCATGATGAGACTGTTTGTTTCTAGTTCTGTACATATCCCCCGTTCCACATGACCACTTAGCATCACTGAAACACCTCCTCAATATTATACATTCATATTCATGTCATTGATGTTAATCTTTATTCTTTTTGAGAAATTTCATGTTTTTTGTATAAATTACTTTGAATGAAGTAGAAAAAGACTTTAAAAACACAATCAGGATCGCTAAGAGAAATTTTAGAATGTTTAATTAAAATAAATAAATTTATTTCATCGTTATATTAAAAACATTAAGATAAAAACAGTCCTCATGTTATTCCAGTGTTTACACAGTTACACTATTTATCCAGCACTAGACAATGTGAGATATAACAGCACAAATACTGATGTTTTATCAGCTCAGGCATTTTAATTTTTATTTCTTGACTTTTTATAATGGTCTGCTCATTTATCAAATAGTCCAAAAATGGTTTCAGCATAATTGTTAACATGCATTTCTTATTTCATTGCTTATAAATCATTAGTCCAGCTTTAATTCAATTAACTTAAACAGAGGGGTTTAGGAATAAGGTTAAGAACTATTAAGTCTAGGGTTTTTAACACTATTATGTCCAGAAAGACAAAGTTCATGCATTTTCATAAGATATGATGGTTTTTCATTAAAGAGATTAGAAATAATCAGTAATTTGTTTGAATCATTTTATTAATCATGCAATTTAAATGTAATTTGAGGTGCTTTTTGTAATGGAGAGGCAGTGATTTTATGGATCACTAGATATACATATTCCAATTCCTTCTTTATGGTGTTATAAGTACAAAGCTGTAATAAGTATAGCTTTCCATGTTAAGCCTCATTTCCAGGTGTTTTAAATCATTGTTTGATATTGCAGTGAAGGCATTACTTCAATAGATGCATAGAAACTCAGTCAGTCAGTCAATAGATGCATAGTAAAGCTTACAAATAGTTATTTCAGTATGTATGTATTTATGTTAGTATTATGCTTTCAGTTCAATTGTACAGATAACATAAGCCCAAAAGTTACTTGATATTACTGCCATATAGCTGGAATATTGCAGAATGCAGCGTTAAAGAACCAACCAACCACTTGATATTATGTTCAGTCTCATGAAAATCAAAACAGGTTGCTGCTGCTACACAAAGATATAAGATAATCCCATTACAGATCTCAACAGGATGACTTTTACAAATGTTGACACACCAGTGAAATGATTAGCACAAAGTTATCTGCAGTCAGACTATAATACATCAGCTTTTTCTAGCTTGATGGTCAAAACTGAACACATGTCCAATATTAGGCTGAGATTGTACAAAGCCTCTTCTATTTCAAATGTTTTTCCCCTTGAAGTGAGAGATCATGTTTTGTATGGAATCAGTCATAGTGATTACATTGGCGGATCCAGAGGGAGGGTTCAGGGGTTCGAATCCCCAATTTTGAGAATGACTTAAGACCACATTAAGGATTTTTTTTTCGTTGGTTGAGCCAATTGGGGTTCAGGGGTTCGAACCCACTGAACCCCCCTCTTTCAAAATTCCTGGATCCGCCCATGGATTAGTTGTTCAAATTGCCTGATATTGGGTGGTTGTGTGATTAGAAAAAAGCATTTTAACTTTCACTTTCTCGATCTTGTAAGTGACGCTCTGATTGGCTGTATGAAATTTTGTACTGACATGTCCTGCAATGGCATGTCCTGAGATCAGTGTGCAGTGGTAGAGATGTGATATATTAACGAGATTGTCATTATGTTGGTAATATTATTTTGTTCATTCTTAACACAAACTGGCTTTCACCCAACTCACTAGCTAGTCATGGTACATATAAATGTTAAGGCATTAGGGTGGCATTGTGGTTAAAGTGTTCACTTGTCAGGGTTCTATTCCTCTCATGGTTACAATATATAAAACATGGTTCTGGTGTCCCACTGTGATGTTGCTTGAATATACATGTACCTAATAGCAGCATAAATCCCAACTGAATTTCACCACTAATACATTCACTGGCATGTACTTCCAATGCACGCAAATATACACCACAAAGGTTGAACCCTGCGCACGTAGGCACACAATACAAAGGCATGTCACTCTAGGTAGCACAGGAAATGCATGAATATTTAAATAAACATATAATGATCAGCATGGAGAATTTGAACTAACCAGATATGATGTCATGTTTTGCATGTTACCATGGTCACAGGCTCATCTATGAAACATGAAGGCATTACCGTCACTGTTATTACTGATGTGTAGAAATCATTTATTGACCCCCACTAAACATACAGAAGATATGGAAGCACAGATGTATCATTCTCCAGCGGGGTCTGAATGGCTTCCAGGGAACGATATTGTTTGTAACATTTACAGTGGAAGATTTGTTTACTTGTTATTAAATATGTTAATAAATTTTTAATCCACTTTTCTAGTGAAAGTTTTATACCACTCTGTTAGTGAAAGTTTCATACCAGTCTTCAGTGAAAGTTTTACATCGCTTTTACAGTGAAAGGTTTTTACATTTTTTTCAGTGAAAGGTTTTTACAACTTTTCAGTGAAATGCTTATACTGCTTTTTCAGTGAACGTTTGATACCACCCTTTAGTGAAATTTTAGTTTACCCTTTAGTGAAAGTTTTTTATTACTCTTCAGTGAAAGTTTTATAACAAGTAGCAGCAAGATTCTTGATTACAAACTTGATACCTGCTTGTTTTCCTACATGTCAAGCTTTTCAATCCTTGATTGTATTTAGCTTCCAATTATTATAATGATCTTCTTCACTTTAATCACTGATCAGCATCCTGAAAAAACAAAGGACTTTTTGCGCAGTTGACAACAATGCTTTTCCCTTTTTGTCAAATTATTTTATAAACAAACAGTCATGTACAATGAGACCCTGTTAAACTGGACGGCACAGTTTCATAGAATCTTAATTTCTCTATATATGAAAATTTGAATGGGTCTTTTGTAATTTTGTTGAAAGTATGTTAATTCTCTTGTATTACTATAGTATATCAGTCATGTCATAACTGGTTAACTGTAGTAATATGAAACAACAAGGTTATTTTACTTCGTTTAGTTGCTGAGGTGTTACTGTGGAGGTTTCCAGCAGTGAGTGTCTAGAACAGTTTCCCAACTGCCATTGTCTGGACTAAGGGGGTTTCACTGCACAATGAATGTTGTCTGATACAAGCCTTGTGACACACAATAGATGTTTATGTGGCCATGTTGAAGGTGATTGTTTACCTGTTGCTGATTCCAGATGCTTATGAGTCAGACTTTGAGGATGAAGATGACAGTCCGTCGGGGACGAGCCAGCAGCCTGATGAAGGTAGGACCTTGTAGTATGTAGTGTGGGAAAACAGGAGGAAATAGGGAGGGGACAAGTGTTCTGGGGAAAAAAACAGGTACAAAGTAGGTATAGAGAGGGGTCAGGTAGGAAAGAGTCCAAAGTAATGGGGGTAAGGAGTAAAACAAAGGAACAGAGTGAAAAGGCCAAAAAGTGGAAACATTGAAAATAGTAAGAAATGGGAGAAGAGCAGATTTTACTGAGGTAAATATGTAAAAAGTGGGAAATGTGAGGAAAGTAGAGGGGACAATCAGGTAAAAATGGGAAAAGAGCAGAAAGCATGGGGGAAAAGAGAAAATGATCTTGGGAAAAACTGCTACAAAGGGCTAAGGGATCTGTTGGTCCCAAACAAAAACAAAAAGTAGTAAAACAGGTAGTATGTCAGGGAAAAGGTACAAGGAGGGATAGTATTGGGAAAAGAGTTGATAGTATTGGGGGAAAACAGATGCATTATGGGAACATATATCATATAAAAGTATCCACTCCTGGACATGTTCCTGAACATGCAGTGTACAATAACAGACAAAGGGATGTCATCAGTATATGGAGGAATGAGCCATGATTAGTGTTAATGAAATATATGAGTATTTACTTTGTTTTATGTGTTCTGATTTATCACTGACACCAAATGATGACGGAATGCAGCATGTTACTCACCTTAGTTCAGTGCACAATCAAGAATGTCTGCATTAGTAACATGTCACAGATTCAGGACAGTTAAAGACAGTCATCAAGTCATTCAAAATGGCTCTCGTCACCAGACCAATAGGTGTAATTCACACAAGTCAAAATATGTCGAGCTGAGAATCAATTGTGCCTTGTGTTTTATTTCACGAATAGTTGCCACTTGATGGGTTTTCTTGACGTAGCTGGTATATCACGTCTAGTGCAGTACTAATACTGACAGTCCTGTTATACAGACAGGTGCTGTTTATGTGAAAGAAAACACATACAAGGGATTTAAATCTCATAAAACCCTAAGAGGGAGTGTTCTATCTGACTTATAAACCAAATCTGAGACAACAGTTATTGACAACTGTATGTTTTAAACCAACTTTGCACGAACCTGTACTTGAAAGTTTAATACACCCTTCATAGCCTAGTGGCTCACCTAGTGGCTGGAAATACGAAGGTTGTAAGCTGAATCCACTGAACTAGAAAATCATTTATACCGTGTGCATATAAATCATGGAGATTTTACTTGATTGTTTTATATATTCAGGTTAGTGCAAAAGTTGGGTTTTATGATATATAAATCAATGACCGGACAATGGGATGATGTCACTGGAGGTTTATACATTCATAATCACCTTGTTAAACCAGGAACTAACAATTACAGCTTGACTGTAGAAGATAAAACTTTACACTGAAATTAATCAGCTTTTAGAGGGTTTGTGAGTAACCCATTTCTAGTTAGTTGATTAAACCCAAGAAGTCTTTCATTCAAGAAATTGCTGTTTAGACGACATTACCAAAAAATGTTGATTGCTGAGTCAGCATAGTGGTAATGAAACTTCCTGAAAATAGAAGATGTGTTATAGCTCATTCCCTGGTTCAGTTGCTCAACGCCTCTAATGTGTTTCTTCCAGAGGGCTAGAAGATCCGTACACCAGGGATGAAATCGTAGTTTTCGCAATATAGATTAGATTTTTCTTTAGCTTATATAGCACAAAGCTTAACAGCCTATTCTGCTACACACGATAAAGACAGCTTGTTCTGAAAGAAACATGAAAAAATGGCATTTTTTGAATTTTTTCACAAGACAGAATTTATTGATCTAAATATCTATATTTTTGTTTATATTGAGTAGAAATGTAGTAAGTTTTCTTGTGATTACATCAAATACCTGTAATGTTGACTTTAGCACCCTGTGCTTAACTGGTAGGAGGCACTCTTTGGAATACTTTCACTTGCTAGGAGTCTACTAAGACTCTTTCCAAGATTCGAACACTTGCTAGATCTCTTGGTATCAAAGTTTAGTTTATACTTGTATTACACACACAGTGTTAACTTCTTAGATTTCAAAATTATCATTTGAACAAAGTCAAGAATAATAACACTAATTATTTAAGTTGCATTAACGATTCAATACTCCCATTTTCTGACAAATATTAACGTAAAGCTAGGTTAGAGTAGCATTCATTATTAAACAACAATGGTACCAATTTCAACAATTACAGAATACATCCTGGATATTTAGGTTTGGTATTTTCCCATTCATTGTTATTGATTATGTATATTAGTGAAGATATATTTTGTTTACAAAGCAGCATATTGCACAACAGTTTACAGTAATACTGTTCTAAATGTAATTGTTTTGTTAGAATAATTTTGAACAAAATTTTATTGTTTACATATTACAATTTCAATAGTGATAAAATTGTTATATATCACACTTTGAAATTTGTTATATTATATACATTTCTGTAGACTAGATGGTATCTGACTTACAGGGTAGGAACGCTGCTTTTCAATCATGTGGGACCTTGGCTACTTGGCACTTTTCCTCTTGCTTTCTTCATATAATTAACTGTAATCAAAGATCTTATGATGCGAATGTATTGTTTGCAAGTATTAAAGCTTTGCAAAAATGATGGTGTTTTGTGAACTTTTGAATCATAGGCAAGATTTGAAACTGGATTTATTGACAGTTTTTGTAGTTTTGATTATTTCTTTTAAAGCCAGATTACTAGTCAATACGACCTGGACTTTGTATTTAAACAAAACATATGATGATATAGGCATGAAGCTTTCTAATGGGACTGGGAAACATGTTGAATGTATCTTTTGAAATATTTGTTTTTCAATATGCTATATTTACTCCAGTAGTTGGTGATGGTGTTTATATTGTTCTATATTGACCGGTGTAATGAGGAGTAAAAAGGGGATAATAATGATAACAACAATAATAATAACAGTAATAATAATAATAATGTCTGGTAGCAGCAATATTTATTGTAAACCATTAATTGTATGATATCCTTTTGAGATAATGACTAATTTGATGACGTATACACATACATGTGATTTCCTGTTTCACACATGTTGAAGGCATACTGAAATATTTAAAGCAATGTGCAAGGACTATTTCATAAATAACCCTGCTGTCTTGCATTGTTTCATTAAAATTGTCTTCTGCATTAAAGGTTAACTACCCCAAATAGGAATATTAATCAGTTGATGAATAAACATACCTTGTTAAACAAAGCAGCAAATGTTATCTGGCCTAGAAATGTACTAACTGGCTAGAATCAAAGGATAGTTAGTTGGGAAAGGCTAATTGTGTCTACTTGTTTAGCACAATTTATAGAAGTGGATAACAAAATAGTATTATCCTAAAGGCTAGTATTCATCAAAATACATTGAATCCCAGTAAAATCTTTGTGTGCCATGTTGTGATGTGAGTGGTTGGTATGATGGTACATTGATGTTAACCACAGATGGAGACAGTAAAGTACAGCCTGGTACACCTGTTGATGAAAACAATCAACCCAAACCCTTACCTGGTGATTACTTCACGTTTGTGTGTGACTGTTTGCCATCTTCGTAACACATGGCACATTGATTTGGAACACTGACTAACAAATAACACACAAATATAAATTATCATCTTAGTTTTCTGATTTTTATGTCATTATCATGCCACTCTGTGTGGGTGAGTTTAGTTTTACGCCACACTCAGCAATATTCCTGCTATATGGCGGCGGTCTGTAAATAATTGAGTCTGGACCAGACAATCCAGTGATCAGCATCATGAGCATCAATCTTTGCAATTGGCATATGATGACATGTGTCAACCAAGTTAGTGTGCCTGACCACCCAATCCCGTTAGTCGCCTCTTACGACAAGCATTTCACTCTCTGTGACGATGATGTGAGGGCATCTCTATTCATGGGCGGATCCAGGAATTTTGAAAAGAGGGGGTTCAGGAGGTTCGAACCCCCTGAACCCCCCCATTTTCTCTGCCAACGCAAAAATAAAATCTTCAATGTGATCTTAAGTCATTTTCAAAAGGGGGGTTCAAACCCCCCAAACCCTACCTCTGGATCCGCCGATGTCTATTGTAGGTCACATAAAGTGAACTTTCAGTTAGGTGACATTTGTGGATTCAGTCTCTTCAGTTTCAGATGGTATCACAGCAATAATGACATTACAGATGATTTTACATTTAAGTTATCCTACCAGTGGACAGTATGTCCAGTTTCACATCTGAAGCCCAGGAATGCCTCAATAAGGCCTGCAACTTATTTTCCACTTCTTGAATTAGACTAACATTAGTCTGGCAAAGCATTTTCAACTCCACCAAGCATGATGTTTGTAAATCACTCACAACCACCGCCATGTTTGTCTATGTTCGTCCTTGATGCCAGGCACAAAACACTAACAGGTTTGTTGAACAGGTATTATTATCCGTTGGTGCTCTCTGTGTACATCTCATCCTGAAGGAAACGTAATTGTTTTGATTTCCTTTAATCATTATGGTCAATGTCTTTTCACTCCATTAATCTTGACAGTGAGTATTCAATAAATCTTTACTCTATCTGAAAATAAAACAAACTAAAATTATATGAACCTTTTATTGTTTTACTTACTTAAATGTGAATCAAGATGGTGATGTTATACAGAATGCACTATATTTTGAGAACATTGTCTGACTGACGTTAAGTAAACTCGCACACAATATGCCATATTTTCTAGGAAAGATGAGGGAGTTTCAAATTACACTTTGCTGTGAATTGCCTGCTGTGCTTTGTGTGTTATTATCTTTTGACCATTTTAAAAATTAAACTTTGAACTATTTCTATTGTATTCAAAATGTATGACTGACAGCTTGCTTTGAAGTATTCACATGTGAAACATTCATTGCTTCAAGTGTGGTGTGTAAGTCTTTGATAAATAATGTCAGAGAATGTTCTCACTGGGTTGGTTTATGAAGTTAAACTTATAATAAATGGTAAATGGATTTAAATGCATGGTAATTT